CTAGGCTTGGAATCTATTAATGAATTTCTTGGAACTTTGAAGGGACACGTCAAATCTCCTTGAATTCGAAATGCAAACAAATTATAAATTTTAAAAAGGTGAATGCATGTAAAACATGATTAACCAATGAAAATCAAACAACACCAAAGTAAAAATGTCAGAATTTCTTTCTTCTGTTTCGCCGTATCTCATTCTCTGATGAAGCTTTAATAAAGGTGAAACATGTTAGATTGATAAATGTTTTCTATTTGTTCTTTGTCTTATCATCCTGTCAGATTCTGATCCATATTTGATCCCAACTCATAACATCATATAGAAGTTTATATCTTGAAATTTAATTGTCACTCGGATAAATCATCTTTCACATAAAAAATTAAAGAAGTGTTTGCTGTCAAGTTGTAATTACTTAATTAGAATAGAAGAAAAGGAGAAAGTACTATGCCACTCATTAATTTAATTGATATTGATTTTTAATTACTGATTAATTTTATTTCTAATTAAAACCAAATTGTGACTAAAAATGAATAGTCATTACATTCATATGAAAAGTTTTTTTTTTTCCTTCTTTTTTTTCCTTCTTGAGAGGTGGGTTTTAAAAGTACTGATTAAAGAAAGAAAAAAAAAAAGCTGTTGCCTATGCTTTCCTGTTTTGCTCTGACCTGTGACCATCCCCCCTATGCACCCTGAATGTAGCTCTTTGACATATTCAGTGTCATCTAGTCAAATTCCCTGCTCTTGAAACTGCTCCACTTTTCTTCTTGCTGTTGAGTAATAAAGTAGTAGCAATATTTAAGCTAACTGCCTTTGCCCTTTCAAGCTGCTCCTCAGAATCAACAAAGGCTTAAGTTGTGTGTGTAATTATTTGGCTGTACACCAATTTATATTTGCCAATACAATTTCTCTCGAGCCAGATGAAAGTTGCCTTTTGATAATGCCTTGATGTTTACGTAAGGTATTAATAATGAATTGAAATTCTGATGTTAGCTAAAATAAAAATGAATACCTTTCACTTGTTTCAATCATATATTTTTTTTATCTGCATGCAATGAGTAGGCTGGGGAGGAAATCCCTTGTCCCTTAATTTTCACCTAAAAAAAAATTTCCTTTTATGTTCTCTTTTTTTTTATTTTTTTAAAAAAAAAAATTATTCTTTTTGTTTTTTATTATTTTTTTATTATTCTTCTTTTTGTTTTTATTATTCTTCTTTTTGTTTTTATTCTTTTTTTTATTCTTTTTTATTCTTTTTTTTTTTTTTTTTATTTTCTTTTTTTTTTTTTTTTTTATTCTTTTTTTATTTTTTATTATTCTCTTTTTTTTTTTTTATTCTTTTTTATTCTCTTTTTTATTCTCTTTTTTTTATTCTTTTTTATTTTTTTTTTCTCTTTTTTTTATTCTTTTTTTTATTTGTTTTTTTTATTCTCTTTTTTTTATTCTTTCTCTTTTTTTATTCTCTTTTTTTATTCTCTTTTTTTTTCTTTTTTTTTTTCTTTTTTTTTTCTTTTTTATTCTCTTTTTTTTCTTTTTTTATTCTCTTTTTTATTCTCTTTTTTATTTTTTTTTTTTCTCTTTTTTTATTCTCTTTTTTTATTCTCTTTTTTTTATTTTTTTTATTCTTTTTTTTATTCTTTTTTTTATCTCTTTTTTTATTCTTTTTTTATTCTCTTTTTTTATTCTCTCTTTTTTATTTCTTTTTTTATTCTCTTTTTTATTCTTTTTTATTCTCTTTTTTATTCTCTTTTTTTATTCTCTCTTTTTTTTTATCTCTCTTTTTTATTTCTCTTTTTATTCTCTTTTTTTATTCTCTCTTTTTATTCTCTCTTTTTATTCTCTTTTTTTATTCTCTTTTTTTTTTATTTTTATTCTCTTTATTCTCTCTTTTTTATTCTCTTTTTCTCTTTTTTATTTCTTTTTTTTATTCTCTTTTTATTCTCTCTTTTTTTTTCTTTTTTTTCTTTTTTTATTCTCTTTTTTATCTCTTTTTTTATTCTCTCTTTTTTTATTCTCTTTTTTTTTTTTTCTCTCTTTTATTTTTTTTTTTCTCTTTTTTATTCTCTTTTTTATTCTCTCTTTTTTTATTCTCTTTTTTATTCTCTCTTTTTTTTCTCTTTTTTATTCTCTCTTTTTTATTTTTTTTATTCTCTTTTTTATTCTCTTTTTTTATTTTTTTTTATTCTCTTTTTTCTCTTTTTTTTTATTCTCCTTTTTTTTCTCTCTTTTTTATTCTCTTTTTATTCTCTCTTTTTTATTCTCTTTTTTTTCTTTCTTTTTTATTTTTTTATTCTCTTTTTTTATTCTCTTTTTTATTCTCTCTTTTTATTCTCTTTTTTTTTTTTTATTCTTTTTTTATTCTCTCTTTTTTTCTCTTTTTTTCTTTTTTTTATTCTTTTTTATTCTTTTTTTATCTCTTTTTTTATTCTCTTTTTTTCTTTTTTTATTCTCTTTTTTTTATTTCTCTCTTTTTATTCTCTTTTTTATTCTCTTTTTTATTCTCTCTTTTTTTATTCTCTTTTTTTTTCTCTCTTTTTTATTTTATTATTCTCTCTTTTTTTTTTTTTTTATTTCTTTTTTTTATTCTCTCTTTTATTTTTTTTTTTCTTTTTTTCTCTTTTTTTTTTTTTTTTTATTCTCTCTTTTTTTTTTTTTTTTTTATTCTTTATTCTTTTTTTATTCTCTCTTTTTTTATTCTCTCTTTTTTTATTCTCTCTTTTTTTATTCTCTCTTTTTTTATTCTCTCTTTTTTTATTCTCTCTTTTTTTATTCTCTCTTTTTTATTTCTCTTTTTTATTTCTCTTTTTTATTCTCTCTTTTTTATTCTCTCTTTTTTTATTCTCTCTTTTATTCTTTTTTTTTCTCTCTTTTTTTATTCTCTGAATTCTCTCTTTTTTATTCTCTCTTTTTATTCTCATTTTTTATTCTCTTTTTTTTTTATTCTCTTTTTTATTCTCTCTTTTTTTATTCTCTCTTTTTTTATTCTCTCTTTTTTTTTTTTTGTTTATTCTCTTTTTTTTTTGTTTATTCTCTTTTTTTTTTGTTTATTCTCTTTTTTTCTGTGTGTGTGTATGCCACTAATGAATTAAAGGTATAAATCTATATTTCTGGATTTTTATTTTTTTTCATTTTTTTTAATGTTGAATGTTGGCATTCATCTGCCATTCTTGTTGTCTTATTAATCCATTTTCATCCCATCTTGTGTCACATTTTCTCCCATCATTTTCTTGCAATTGTGGTGACATTTCTCATAGAACTTCACAGCTAGGACCTACACCACCTTATTAATCATTGTGTCAGCATATCCTAGAAGTTCCCGCCTTTCATATGTAACTTTATGGAATTGAAGAATATTAAGGTTTATGAATAATTCTGTAGCCACAGGAATTGTTTACTTGTGTATTGTCCTGCCAGATGTAGTCACCTTTGCTGAACAGTTCATGTCTATGGAATTTTAAGATTTCCTGTAATTATGATAATAATGAAGCCTAGTTACCTGTTGTAGGATCTTGGTCCAGGAAATCCATTAGAACCATGTCATTTTGGTTCCAGAAAACTGTGAGCATCACCTTGACAGCAGAGGATTAGTCATGGGGCATACGTTCACATTATGTGGGAACGCTGGTTCCCGTATGGTCACCAAAGTTAAGCAATGCTGAGCCTGGCCTGTACCTAGATGGATGGCCATTTGGGAATACCAGGCTCTGTAAGTTTGCATGTGTGGTTGGTGTAATGGTTAACAGCTTGGAATTGGAAATCAGAGAGCTAACTTCCAATTTCAGTTTGAGTTGTTATATTCACTTGCATGAAAATATCTCTGGTAAAGGCATGAATCCACCTCTTCTCCCTCCAGCTATGGGTTAATTAGTAAGACTTGTATCACTAAAACCATATCTCAACAAAAAAAGAAAATTCTTGCAATCTAAAAATATTTTCTGGCTTTAAATAACCTGTAATGTATTGTATCATAAATGGGTAAAATGAAGTGAGCTCCATGTGGGAGTTGCTGTGTGTTTCTACATAGGCAAATGGGGAATATAGCCCATGTCGATGGGGGATGCATGTTTCTACATGAGGAAAATAGAAACATATCCCATGTGGGAATTCATGTATCTACCTATTTGTTGTAATGAAACATTTATGCTGACATGAATCTGTTTTGTTGCGTTCTAACAGGACAAATCTCTCCAAAAAAACCAATGCATGCAAGTCTCCATTTACTAGCCAAAAAATGTTAATTCTACAGAGAAGAAAAAAAATGTCAGTCAATGAAAAGACAATAAATAAGACAATACATGCATTGCCACGTGCTTCAATTTGCCATGTGGAAATTTGTCCTGATGGAATGCAAAATCCAGATTCTATATGCTGGAATAAATAAATGTATTGGTATAATAGACATTTTGAAGGCTTATTCTCTGATCTTGGTACATGATTTTTAAAAAATCATTTCACCCCAAGCAAGGTGATAATACCACTAGGATGCAAGGGGTTAGCAGGAGGAAAAGTGAATAAGAAAACTTATTAGAATAGAAGTGGTGATTGTATCTATCTAGTTCAACAATGAGACCTAATTGCCAATCTGGTAGTATGTTTAAATTCATGCAATCAAGGTACCAAGGCAAAAAGTTCATCAGAACTATTGTCATGAAAATAGTCTTTTCTTTGTTACAGTAATACACACATGCTTTTAAAATGGAATGGCTTCAGATTTTTGTTTAATACATTTTGTAAATAATTTTGAAATTTAACTTTGTTGCTGATTATTTCAGTTGTAATATTTAGTTTTTAAATTTAATTTTTATGCAAAATTATTAAAAAAAATTATGAAAGTATTTATCAACAATTTTTGATTGAAATCATCAGAATGCATTATCTAATACTTTTATAATTTTAAATCTTTATTGAATGTGAAAATTCTTTTATAGAAGGATTGAATTATAATTTTTTTTTTATATTGATGGAATGTTTAAAATGATTTTCTAATTAGTTTCCTGCTATTTTCTTTTCAGAATTTGGTTAGTGAAAAAAGTAGTGCACTGGTATTTGGTGAAAAGAATTTCAAGTAATGGTTTGTATCTTGTCTTTCATATCAATCTATATATAAAATTCTGTGACTTCTGTTAGTCCATCTATCCCTCACATCCTCTAAAATAGCCATACATTGAGTCTAAATTGTGGGGAGTAGTGCCTACAGGTAAGGGGATACAAAGTACAATTGGTTTTACAAGGATGTGTACCTTAGTACAATGAACCTCATTCATTTTTTTTTTTTTTTTTTATTTAGTAAAATTAAGTTTTATTATCTAACATACAAAATAATCTCACTATTTTGAAAACAATTTAATGATTAAAATAACAATTATTTAATAAAAAATCAGTATTTTTTTAAAGTTTTTATATATACAAGAATTCAGTCTGTTCTGTGTTTGCAAAAACTAAACAAATCACAAGGCCAAATGCTTCAAAATATTGGAATTTGGCTCCAGAAACAAATATTTACACATATCCTATTGTATACTCAAGAGTAAAAAATCCTACAAATTTATTTTTCACTAATTAGAAAATCATTTTAAACTTCCCATCAATATAAAAAAAAAAATTAAAATTCAGAAAAAGGAAATTTTCTTAAAAATTATTGCTTACCATGAAGTACTATAAAATTATTTTTCAAAACAAATCAGCTTATTGAAATTTTGTTGATTGGTTTGCAAAATTGAATGAACTGTAGAGTTTATAAATCTCAGCAAAAAATGTTAGCAAAACTCTAACAATATAAAATACTGTGAGAATTTCAATGCATGTCAACATGTTGCAAAAATTTCTAGTATGCAAAATGGCATACACTGTCTGAGTCAGCAAATGTTCATAACCTTGCAACAGTATTATACAATCTAACGTTTATCGAGGTGAACAGGATTTCTGCCAATAATGTGCTCAATTGTTGTCTTGAACTATAATTATTGAACTGGAAATAATAAAGTTCAATACTTATAAGTATTATCAATATCTGCAATGTTATTGGTCCTGACCTGGCATGTTGGCTTCAGTCCCTTTCCCACTGCTGTAACTCTGTACCTTTTCTATAAATACTTTCGTGGTAATTGTTCTGATAAAATTTCCTCTATTGGAGTTTCATTTTTAAAAGTTATTTTTCCCCAACCCCCACAGACAAATAGTACAAATTTCTCAGTGCCCTTTTCTTTAAAGATGAAAGACGTATATATATATATATATATATATATATATATATATATACATCAGTTCTATGCCAAATTGTTCAGAACAGCATTGTTTTTTGTCAGAAAAGTAGTATAAGTTTTATCAAAGTTGTTTTATATTCTATAATTTTCACAGACAATAAATATGATATTGTTATTGTGAGACCAGGTAATTTGAGAGGATAATACAAAAGTTATGGATGATTTAGTGATTTAACCAAAGACCTTTATCCATTGTGCAAAATGTGAAACGGTTGAAAAAATAACAAAATAATAAAAAAATATGAACTGGAATTATTTAATATTTATTATAAACCTTTAGCTTCAACTTTTAACATCTTCAACTGCATGAGGAAATTAAATTTTCAAATTTCTTGCTGGGTGATCTTATTCCATCTTCCTGAACGGCATTCCATAATTGTTTGTTGTTTAGGATTTTGTTTTGAACGTTCTTACCAGGATTTAGTTCATAGAGCAGGCCAATTAACAATAACATTTTCAGCCTTGAGGAAGTTCATGACCACCTTAGCCTTTGACATGGGGCATTGTCCTGAATGAATATTTATTTCTTAGTTGAATTTCTCAGCACAGGCAAGACATGATCTTTTTGTTGTTTATAAACTCCTGCATTTACCTTTTCATGTAATCGCACCAAAGGACCCACACCATCTGATATCATCCTTCAAACCATGACACTTCCTCCACTGAATTTAACACTAGTCTTAAGGCATTTGGTTTTCACCTACTGTCTTTTATCTGCCAAATCACAAACATTGATCCCACCGTTTGCCATTTTTCTTGAGACCACAACACATTTGGTTGGTAAGATGACACTTTTTATTTTGGAGCTGATCAGTGGCTTCACTGCAGGTGCTCTTGCTTGTAGGTCATGTTCAACTAAACGAGACACAGTTTTTTGTACAATGCTCATTTGAAACGGCAGCAGCAGTTTTAAATCTGTCCTTTTTAACCAACTTTACCATAGCATGATCTTCTCTCTTGGTCGTTTTTTCTTGGCCTACCTTTATATTAGACTTTCTTTTCACAAAGACCATTGACCTTAATTGAACAAACTTTTATCAATCTTTGCAATAGACCCAATACTTAATTATCCTTCTTTCGAAGCTTAATAATCTGCTGACGAATTGGTAACGGAGTAAATAGCATTATATTATCAAAGTACACTGCAGATATTCTTACTAATGTTTAGTAAACGAGCCGTCATGTAAACAAATTAAAAAAAAATTAGAGTTCGCCGGTTAAATATACTAAAACACGGAATAAAAGCAACTGTTCTGATCATTTTGGGCGTCATGGGTTTTGCAATAAATCACTAAATCATTCATAACTTTTGTATTATCCTCTCAAATTACACCAAAATCTCAGACAATAACAATATCGTATTTATTTTCATGTGTCCAAGTGTTTTTTTTTTTTTAATCAGACCCCCAAAAAGGGATTCACTTTCAGAGTGGATACTTACAGACTTGGGTATAAACTTGACCAATGTCTACCGTTTTTGACTCTAGTGCAAGCCTGACTTTTGTCTACTGATCTATTAATTTATTGTTGTTTTTCTCATATAAGACTACTATTCAACATTTAATAACCCTAAATAGTTAGTGAAGTCATCAAATTAATCAGATTACCTTTTTATAATTTTTTCTTTCTGGATTTGCTTATTTATTTATTTTATTTCATTTAATAAAATTATTTTCTCTCTTTTTTTTTTTTTTTTTTTTTTTTTCTTCTCATATTTTAGAGGTTGCTCTTCAGGAACTGCAAGATAAGAAGAAAGACATTGTGAGTATTTTGTTTGTTTTTTTTTTGTTTTTTTTGTTGGTCTAATGACAATTGTTTCAAATGCATTCTGTGTGAAGAATATATATTTATAATATGCTTACAAGGGTGGGATCAAAGGTTCATAGGCTGACTAGGAAGGAGTGATGCTAGAACTGTGAAATCTTGGATGCATTCATTTTAACTCTTTTTTTAATAACTGCAATTTCTTTCTAGATAAATTGACATCTGAATGTTCAAAGACTGTTCAAATTGTTGGTTCAAAAAGTCATCAACAGCACATCTGATGTCATCATCACTATGATACTGGTTCCAAACCAAGTGTATTTTCATGTTGGGGAACAGATGATAGTTAAATCAGGAGAATAGGGATTGTAGTCAACCAGTTCTAAGCTACATTCATGCCCAGCAGGCATTGAAACCAAGGACTTGTGTTCTGCAGCATTGTCCTGATGGAATCGGTCCCCTTTCACCAGTTTTCTTGGGTGTTTAGTCTTGATAGTCTTTCATAACTGCCTCAGCAATTTGACATAGTACTCTGATAGTGTGGCCCTTTTGAAGATATCAATAAACATAATGCCTTTTGCATCCCCAAAAAACTGAAGCCATCACTTTCTTTGCAGAGGTTTCAGTTGGCAATAATATAAGCTATAAGTTATAAAAAGACACTGTTGATCATTTACAGCTCATTTGATTAAATAATGGCAAGACTATTGTTTGCATCACATGGCAATAATTCTAAGTAAAATGATGCACTAAAATAAGTAACAAAGTAATCATTTTAAGTTCTCTGAATATTGGTGCCCAAATAAAATGTTTTGCATACAAGTTAGCTTTATTCTTTTGGCCTCTTTGTCCTTAAAATATAAATAATTGGTCTTTTTTATCCATCAAAAAAACTTTTGGTCTTTTTCTGGATTAACTTTAAAAGTATATATCGACAACATTAAATTGAAAAGTCAATATAAAACATTTCAAGAAAATACTTAAGACAATATAAAGTATAGCATGAAAAAAAGTGGAGATGAGTTGATATTAACTGTTAAAAAAACTCAGCATTGTGATCATCTGTTATCAAAGAGGATTGTTGATGAATAAATGAAAGATTAAACGATAAAACAAATTGCCAATAAAAAGGAAGTAAAATGATTTGAAAGTAGACATAAAAAAACTGCTTCATTTTTAAGGCTTACGACCACATCACATTGGTTCCCGTATAATCACTGAAGTTAAGCAATGTCGAGATAGGTGACCTCTTGGGAGTACCAGGTGCTGTAAACTTGGATGTGAGGGTGGTGTAATGGATATCAGACAGCAGTTGGGTTTGTTGTATTCACTTATCCAAATACCCTTGGGAAAGGTGTGACTTCACCTCTTCTTCCCCCAGGTTTGGGTTAATTACTTATATCACTAAACCATTACTATCTCCTCCTGCCCCCCCCCAAATTTCTTACAATCTAAAATTATTTTCTGGGTTTAAATTCCCTGCAAAGGGTCAGGCTGTAGAAAATGAATCCGTCAATCAATGAAATACTGCTTAGCTACACAGACGTGTTAGATTTATTTACATTCTCTGGTATATAAATGTATACAAATTACCAAGGCCGCAAAGTAAGGGATCAGTTTATATATTGATTGTAATATAGAATTGATACAAAAAAAAAAAAATTCTTACTCTAAAAATATTTTCTGGCTGTGAATAATCTGCAAAGAAAATGTATCTTTCAGAATACAACACTTTATAAGTAATTTATTTTTCTTATATGAAATTTAAACTATACTTATTTTCTGTAATATTTGCTAAATTTCATAAATGAAATGTGAGAAAGTGGGTGTAGAGCAAGATCAAATTTATACATAGCCAGACTTTTCAGGTTCCTTGGAATCAAACTTATGTCAACAAGAATGAATGAAGTAATCACAAAGAGATTCATATTTTAGAACAATCTAAGAAAAAAACAAACAAAAAAAAACAGTGAATTGATCATAAAATAGATTGACTAAAAAAAAACTTCTTAAAATTTTTATTTTTTAATTTTATTTTTGATTCAGTTTTTGATAATGGTGGCACAGAATTAAGATACACTTTTACAAGTCTATTTGTATACATGAGCATAAAATCGGAGCCCAATTGTAAATTCAAACATTTGAACATTGGAGGTTAACTTAATTTTCATCAAAATTGAAAAAATGGGGGTGTGAAATTAATGTTATATTCAAGCAAAACAAATAGCCCAAGAAAAATGTTTTTTCATGTCAAGAAGTTAACCAAAATTAATATTAAGGGAACTTGATAATTAAAAATAATCTTTAAACGCCATAATTATCTACTTGTAAAATCTTTAAGGAATATTTTATCAAACTCTGGTCTAAAATTATCACTATCAAATATCACTGATTTTGTTTTTTAATATATCACTTGTTTTTATACTTAAATTATCTCTTAAAATAAATTATGCTTAAGAAATTTTAAAGACAAGGTCTAATATTAGGCGTATCCCTCCAAGGAAATATTTAGCATTCATTATAACCAAAAGCAGTACTAGCTGTTTAAGCCAGTACTGCTTTTGGTTATAATTTATAAAATCTTTATCTTCAAACAATTTTTCAGGAAAATAGGTTCATCAATCCCAGTAGCTGTTATCACTCTTTCCAGTATTGATGGAGGTTTCCTTCCTAACCTTTTATTTGAAGTAGTGTGGAATGTCAACATCTTGATTATGTCATTATTTTCTTTTCTCAAGTCCAGTAGCTGTTATCACTCTTTCCAGTATTGATGGAGGTTTCCTTCCTAACCTTTTATTTGAAGAAGTGTGGAATGTCACCATTTTGATTGTTATTATTCTTTATTGGTGTTAAATGTGCCATCTATTTTAGTTGGTAGTCCTCAAGTGACATGCTTTTCTGTCAGTTCTATGTTTGCAATTCTAAGGTACCAGTGTAACAGAGAGAGAGAGAGCCCCTCTCCCCACCAGGTGGGTTTATTAATCAACGGTTCTAAGGGATTGGGAAGAAGGTACTAATTAGTTGGGTAGAAGGGATTCCGGAGTCATTCCAGAAATAAGTTTTTCTTTTTACTTAGTTGTTTCTGGGATTGAATTAATTCCAGAGTAATTAATGGATGGGTTCATTAGGTAAAGCTTGTGATAAATGGTGAATTGGATTTTGGGTGGTCTGCCAGGCGAAATCCTGCCAGAGCCCTCAGATGAGATAAGTGCTTTTCGCTGGGCTTAAGTGGATGTTGTCTGCGGAAAACCCAGCAGGGAGTCTGAATCCGATTTTAGTACCTCTTGAAAACTGGGTTCCCGAGGAACTTCAGGGATCCGGTGGAAAACACATGGTGGTCCAGGTGATTTGCATATTAAAATTTGTGGGCGGTGCCTAAAAACTGTTTAGCTCAACCTCTCTCTATATAAGCATGCTTGTGTTGAGCAGATGAGATCAGAGATCAGATCGGATAGGATCAGAGAACGCGTGGGAATGTGAGAGTAGCAGCAGACGCGGCAGAGAGTGAGAGAGATCGCAGATCAGGGACCACAGATCAGAGATCGCAGATCAGAGAATTTGAAGGAAAATGTGGTGGAAACGGCTTAGTGGGTATTGCTGATCTGGCCAGTTGGTTGCATGCGTCAAAAAGTCTGAATCGTACCCAGAGATAGAGATCGAATCCTGATAACTTCGTCAACAAAGCTGAGAAAAGCCGACTACTATATCGGAGGGGGCGGACGAGGAACCACAACTTATCTCCCTTAGTACAGCTGAATTTTGACCAGCATAATTGTGTCTTTCTCTCTTTGTGACGTTCCGACCCAAATGAGTGAATCTTGTTAAGACAGTTTTGTTGGTAGTGATATAAAAACAGTAGCCTTAAAGGGCTCTTTGTACAGGAACCGAAAGTGTTGCTTATATTTTTTCTTTCTTTGTGCCCTTGCGGTTACAAGAAGAACCTTTCTGTACAAATAGCGATTTCTTTCAGCGTGGAGCCCAGCCATTTAATTCATCCTACCTCTGGATCATTCTGAGGGATCGAAATACTACTGTTCAGATCAAAAATTCACAACGTGGTGGATAGTGGTGGTTCCTTCAGTTCACTTTTCGGCCAGAACCACTGGAGAGACAGGACAGAGCTGTAGCCGGCAGGGCTTCTACGTCAGACCAGTCTACAAGGCTTGAAGCAGTATGACCCTTGCCAAGACCATCAGGCTTCACTTGTTCAAAGCCTTTTTTAACCATTGATCTTAGAAAGGATGTATACAGGTGTATGGATAATTTAAGCATACTATTTGATTTTTAAATTTCTTTCTTTTAAGTGACAAAATTCTTACATTTAAGAAGTTGGCGGGTCTTACCTTTTGAGGGTCAGAGAGTTGGAACTAATGAATGGAACTGAACGTGGCTTTAATGATAGAGTGAGAGGCTTGTGATGTCTCGTCTGTTGGGAAAGGGGTTGTCAGGTAAAATATAATTCATCATCCACAAGGCTGCTTTTGAACTTGAGACTAGAAAGTGAGGACTGTGTAGTTCCAGCCCAGATATGTCAACAGTAGACTATTTTTGGCCTGATCTGGCTCTTGTAAAGCTAGAGTATAACAGGAGTCATCGAGTACTTAACTGGAATGGTACAGGGAACTGACCATTTAACTGTATGTGTGTGTATGCATATATCTTCAGGTGAATTTCTTCTATATAATAAATGCGAATTTCAGTGTTTCAGTGTGTCACACTTTCCTAACTTTATTCCTAGAGGCTGTAGCTCAACATATCATACCATTTTCAAGCAGGCCGACTCTAAGCAAATTAAAAACATTCTAGGCTGTATCTGGACCCACAATCCTGAAATTTTGAATTCCCAAGTTTTCATTACTGCAATTGTTTTTGGCAATTTTTGCATGTGATTTTTTGCGACAAATTTTTTTGTTAGATAACAAGTTTTATAACTTGGAACTAAATTTGGGAATAATCAAAATTATTTGCAAAATCCAGCAAAAGTCACCCATGAAATAAAAATAATTGTTTGTACTGAAAGTAAGGACCTACACACATCAAATTGTCTTTAAATTAAGTTACAACAGAAGAATTATTGTTGAATGTTTAAAAGGTAAGCTTAAATATTAATGCAATACTTAAATGCAGCAATTAATTTTGATTTCTTCTGTAATATATTGTTGCCTGCGTCCTCTCCTCCTCCCCCCCCCCCGCCTATTGTGATGAAAGCCCAATCAAGAGCTGTCCACAGATAGAGCGACTTTTAAGCCAGTTATTATTTTCTTGTATTGATCTCTTGGTTTTTTCCTGCATCCTTTGTTGCTCATTGATTTTAGTTTTGATTTCTATTTCAGCTTGAAGATGTTATGGAAAATGAAACTTACAAAAAAGCTAAGGAAATCCTGAAAAGATTTGATCCATCTCAGTTCAAGAAATTAGAAGTGAGTTAACTACTTTTTTTTTTTTTTTTTTTTTTCATATTTGGTTTTTACTAAAATAGTGAATTTATATGGCGACCGCGTGTCAATAGAGATGCAAAAGAGACCTTGGATTGCTTGTGGGTATGTTTGTCAACACTAGTTACATCCAGGTTTTGCATGACAATTTGACATGTCTAGATATGGGCCCCTCTGCAAATGGTCAAGATCCAGGTCTTTACAAGATGCTTCGTGCCAATAAGAGCAAAAAGAGAAATATCATCAGTTGGCAAGACATGGTGTCTTTTGAAGTTGGTCCTCTCAGTGTTTTTGTTCCTCAAGTTGCTATAGTTTCTGAGGTAGTTTTATTTTTGTTACCTCCTGCCTCTTTCCCCTCTCTGCATATTACACCCCTCCTCCCCATAATTGGTGGGAGAGCAATTGGTTAGGGGGTATGTCCCCACCGCCACAATCTCAAGACTCTTTGTTTACATTACAATTTATTTAACTTAAAAATTATTTTTTCTTTTTCTCTCTCTTTGATTTGTTTAATTATCTGTTTCAGGTCGAGAAACCCGCTGAAGGCAAATCTGGTACAGGTTAGTCATGGTTTTCTTTTGAATATCTGTGGAATAGCTGTTGGTCTTGAACCATTTGTGTGTTTGTATACACATTATATATATATATATATATATATATATATATATATATATATATATATATATACACATATTGTTAAATATAACAGACAATAAATGTCTTATGTCAGTTTAACAAAGATATTCACCATTGAAGATAATATTTTGTTATTTTGCCATAGAAGATTGCATCTTGAACTTAAGACTTGCGTTTGCTATTCCACGAATGTTATTATCACATAGCAAACTTCTATGTCAACATAACAAAATATCATCTTTGATGGTGAATATCTTTGTTAAAATGTCCACATAACCACTCTGAAGATGGCTCATGTGAGCCGAAAGCTTAGATCAAGGACCAACTTAATAAAAAAAAGTATTCAAATGTTGGACAATTTTTATCTTTATTTTCACCCAAAATTAAAGCAAACATACAAACATTAGAATGGCTCATGATCAGACATAATAGACATTCATTGTCTGTTATATTTAACAATACATGTTTAAACAATGATTGAATACACTATATATATATATATATATATATATATATATATATATATATATATATATATATATATATATATATATATATGCATGTTTCATTAAATAATATAGATTTCTGTCCTTTTACCTTTTATTTTTACAATAATCAGTTCAAATTCTCTAATTATTTTCTTGATAAGATGAAATACATCAAGGAAGGCACCATATTTTTTTATTTTTATTTTTTTTGTAGACACAACTTAATGCACTGTTATAATTATTTTAAAATTAATTGTTTTGGTTACATTTTGCAAACGATTCAGGAAAGGATTATTATAAAAATAAATAGTCAAAATATTTATTTTATTTAATGAAACATGCTTGAGTGAAGATATGCTATATATATATATATATATATATATATATATATATATATATATATATATACACACACACACACATATATTTTGTTGAATAATATAGACATTGTGTTTATTTTTATATTGAACCTTTTTAGTTTCTTGAAATTGAGATGAAATCCATCAAGGAAGGTAGTTTTTTATTTTTTTTTTTTTATTTTTTTTTTTATTTTTTAGCTTAAGTATATTGAAATGCTTTCTTTGTAGTAAAAAAAAAATCCATGACTACAATGGATAAAAATTTAAAAATTCTAAAATAACTAATAACATGTTTGTCTTTGAAATTACCTCTGACAATGATCTTGGAAAAGATTGAAAGTACTTACGTTAAAAAAAACAAAACAACCATGGCAGCTTCCTTGTTGGATTTCATCTTAATCTCAAGAAACTGATTAAAGAACTGGAAAGGATCAGTATAAAAATAAGTAGACATAATATGTTTATATTATTCAACAAAAATCACACATATACCTATTATTTTAGGATATTAAAACCTATTTAAAAATCGCTACATAACAGCAATTATGTTTCAACACCATAAATATGTCTCCTCAGGCGATGTTAAAATACTGGCAAGTGAAAGATTAATTTCAGAAGCAGAATACTTTAAAAAAAGAAAATAGACTTGTAGGCTTTGCCGTGATTAACCAATCAAATGTGACCTATGCTAAATTCAAATTCACCGGAAAATTTTTTTTAATATAGGTCATGACATGTCTGCATATAAATCCTAGACAATTTCCTTATTGGAAGATGAAGATTGTTACATTATTTCAGAACTTGTATTTAAATCTGACGTTCAATATAATATATATATATATATATATATATATATAGTCCCTCAAAAGGACTTTTTTCTCACTAGTAATGGTTTCATTAATGGAAACTTTTATATACAATTAGGCAAATGAATAACAAAGTGGGAAAAATTTGGTTTAACAAGTTTTGTTCTTTTGGACATCATTGGACTAAAGTAATATCTCTCTTTTGATGGGGAAAAACCCACAAGTCCAGTTTTTTTTTTTTTTTTTTTTAAGTATTTTGCTTTTGAAATTAAATTAAGGAGGGAGAATATAAAAAATACCAATGTAAGTTATTTATTCATCAATAGGAAACACTAATGATGTTGTATTTTTAGATTCAAATCATTTTTTTTTATTTTTTATTTCAAATCTTTTCTTATTTTTTATTTTATTTCAAATCTTATAGCTTTACGTAGTCTCCTAGAAAAGGCTGTTTTTTATTTTTTTTTTATTAACAATTTTTGTGTGGGCTTGTTCATGATTTCTTTTTTATCAAAGTGACTTCAAAATTCTATTTACAATTTATGCTGTCTGCAGTAGAGCCCTAAAGTAGGTTTCCATCTGTGTCTTTTTTTTTTTTTTTTTTTTTTCTTCAGGCAGACTCTGAATGTGAAGAAGATATGAATGACTAGTTATAGAAATGGTTGCCATTTTGGTGGTGGGGGGAGTCTTATAAATTATTGTTTTGGACTATTTCTGCCTCTTGAAGATTTTGATCCCTAATCAGAATCAATTTTGTGCAAGTTTTGGTAAATAATTTAGAACTTGCAAATGGCTGTCTTTTTTCAATATTTTTTTTTTGCCTGTTTCTAGAATTTATTACTTGAGCATCTATCAAGACTCAGATATTTGTGATCGTCTGGTTTAGCATCAGGGGAAGTAGAATTGCTGGCTGATCACTTTGTCTAGCAATAGGCACACACACGTGCGCACACACACACACACACACACACACACACACATTATAAGCCAGAATAAACGCTACATAGTATTTGTATTTGTTTGGATTCCTTCTCACAAGTGATTATCATCAAATGTATTTCTGAAATGACATTGCTTCAATCATTTTCAAGTTCTGATTATTGCCCCTTTTGACCTCTTTTTCATACAGTGGTTTATTAAGGGGAAAAAAGAAAAATGAGCCTTGCAACTATCCTGTGGTACTGCAATCACAGATTTGGATGGTATGCATGACTGCCATTCAAATTTTCTTCTCTTTTCAAACAAAAGAAAAATACATTAGTCCTCATCTTTGTCGCCATATTTATCACAACATTTCAGCCATTGTACGCTCCAGCCTTCTTCAGGTGGTTGGAATTTCGAGGACACATGGCACAGTGGATAAAGGCATTGGTTAGATCCAGTGACAGGACCCAAAGAGTGTGAGTTCACTGTTAAGGCAGTGGAGAATTTTCAGAGGGAAATTAGCAGGAGATAACTGATAACTGACATCTATCAAACATGGCACGTGGAACTAGAACAGTCTACCCCAGTGAGCAAAATAAAGGGTTCAGTTCGAAATTCCAACCACCTGAAGAAGGCCGGAGTGTACAACAGCCGAAATGTTGTGATAAATATGGCGACAAAGATGAGGACAATAGTCTGAATAATGTAAATAATGTACATAATACCTCATCTCAGAAGTATAGACACTCAAAAGAAAAATATATAATCAATGAAAGTCAGATTGAAAGAACACTGGACTGTTGTGATGTGTCTCAGGAAAATTAGGTTTTGGTCATTAATGTGCCTTTTTCTTGTCATTTTTTTTTTTTTTTTTTTTTTATTGGTGATAGAATACCTGACTGGACCTATACTAAAACGAATTGGTCAGCAGAAGTTGAAAGCAGATAATCAGTAAATTCACTTTTATGCAAGCTTGGTCATTCATGCCTACAGAAAGGGACAGTTTTTCTCTTGATGCTGCTATTATTTTAACTACCTTCATTCACTCCTTGGCAATGTTTGTTTTAAAAAAGTAATGATTAGAATTTTAATAAAGTCTAAACATATATAAAAGTGAATTTATACATTTTCTTTGTTCTTGAGAATTTACAACAAAAGTAATAAACACTATTAGATTGTTTATTTACACTATTTATTTCTTATATTATTTATTGGAATGCTTGGCAAAAAAAAGGCTGATTGCCAATTGATTAAAACTTTATAAATTGGTTTCCTTAATGTTGGTTCACATATTTTAATAATTTAGTAAATGTTTATAAATTTATGAATAAAAAAATTGTTTTCATATTTATTTCTTTATAAATTGGTAAATGATAAATATTGCATTGCATTAGTTCTAATTGTATTAGTTTTTAGAATGTTGTAAATGTAAAATTATTCTTGTAAATAAACAGTCTAATAGTCTTTATTGTTAATTCTCAAGAACAAAAAAGAAGTTGAATTCACTTTCATATGTTTAGGTTTTATTCAAATTCTGATCATTGCTTTTAAAATGAACATTGCTGAGAAGTGAAGGTAATTAAAAAAATTTTTTTTTTTTATTTCTGGTTTGAAGTAATGAATTCTTAAGACGACATAATTAATTTCATAAAAAATTCAGTATTCAGACATACCTAAATTTTCTTCATACAGACATACCTAAATTTTCTTCATACAGACATACCTAAATTTTCTTCATACAACCAATGCACCCAGGTGAAATAATGTTCCCTGAAAGGTAGCCCGGTGCATCCCAAGTTAACAGAAGATTTATGGATTATTTTTATATTTAAAAATTTTTATTTTTAAAAATCTAGAGAAACCAAGCACATGGCTTCCATGTTTAAGTCAAATCTTTGTCATTTGATATTTTAAACTGCATGTGAAATTCCTTAATCTTTAAGAAGTGGATAATCCTTTCCCTTTTTCCTTCCTCAAGGGATTTAAATCAGTCATTATCGGCCTTTCTAAAAAAAAATGGATTTTTTTTATAAATCCTTTTAAATGCAAATTGTACTGCTTAAATATACAAATGTAATGCCTTAAAATTAAATGCTTATATAAGTCTACCATTCTTCTATGCATTGAATCTTGCTGCCACATCTGGTCTGGTGCTTCTGCTAGGCATATAGGGATTCTTGTTAAAATACAAAGAATCTGCAATGTTGTTGGTCACTTTCCCACTGGCATAATGTAGCTTCCTCGTGCCTTTTCTATAACTATTTTCATAATTGTTTTGATGAGCTTTCCCTTATGATATCTAGACTTTACAAATTTAAGCTCAGTACTGGATTGGCAGTTAGGTTTCATCATTTTATACTTGAAATGGCTAGATGGAACTGTAAGTTGTATGCTAACAGTTCCTTTTCTCATCTGTCCTGGGTAAGACAATAAACTACATCTGTGCCCTGGGTAAGACGATAAACTACATCCGTGCCCTGGGTATGACAATAAACTATGTCCAATAGTAAGGCCTCTGATCAGGAGGTTTTGAGGAGCGTGGAACCACCTCTTAATTGCTGGTATTCTGATCTGGGATGATAGCACCTGTTAGGGTCTCAGCCATGGCTAAATAGTTAACCCCCAAACTGGGGTCAAAATGCTATGAAAGTGTAAAAATAGGTTTTAATACCAGAAATACTTTGTAAAAAATTATTACCAGCAACAAATTTTTCAAGAAAAAAATTATTACCAGCAATACATTTTTGAAAAGAAAAAAAAAAAAAAAAATTACCAGCAATAAAAAATTTTGTCGGCATTAAATAACCCATTGAGGTTGATATGCCGTAAAACAAACCAAACCTTTTCTTGTGGAACTCTCTTCCAGATTCTTGCTTCCCGGTCAACTTTGATCTTCAAAAATTTAATCGCAATGTTACTCATTATCTACCATTTTCTTAATTCCTGTTCTTTAATTGTTCTCTTTTATTAATAGTTTTTTTTTCTCATACTCAGTAACCCCCTTGCTTCTTAGTGGCTTTATTGCGTTGGTTGGGGTTAAATGATTAAAAAAAAAAAATTTGTTTTTGTCTTTGTTCCTCTATGAAGCTTTAGACTGAATCAAATATTTAATCAATTTAGCATTTCTTATTTTCATGGGATCTGATAAATTTTTTCTTTTTTTTCTAATTTTTTTTTTACCTGTTGACCAGATTTCATTTCTTAATACATTCTTATCCCTGTAATTGTTGCAAGACTGATTTTGTTTAATTTGTCACATTTTTTATTAAAAAGGTCAACTTAGACATTCTTGTAAAATAATGTGACTGCTCTGTACCAGAAACAAAGGCTAGACACAGGACTGTAATGACCAACTAAAATCAGACTTTAATCTTGTTCAGTTGATTTGAGTTTTTGTACTGATCAATACATGTGGAAGAAAACTTATAACATTAAACATAAAAGAAAAAATTGTCTAATATTGGAAACCATGGGCCCACAATGTGCTTTTTTTTTTTTTTTTGCCATGTGTCCTTGGGGACAAAAGTGAATAAAAGCATTGGTTGAAGTAATCCAAAAGTAACTTGACCCAAAGAGTCGTGAGTTCAATACTTGGCCACAGCAGAAGTGAACAAGAACTTGGAAAGTTGAAGGAATTAACTGAAACTGAGATATTCAGAAAAGGCATGGCACGTGGAACTAGAACAATCTACATCCATGGACTAAATGGAGGGTTCGGTTCAAAATTCTAACGTATATTACATGAAGAAGGCTGGAGCATACAATGACTGAAAGATTGAATATGACAAAAAAGATGCAGACAACAGTGTAAACAATGTAAATACAGACAAATGGAAATACAGATTCAGATGAAACAGGATTGGCAAATAACTGAGAAGTAATTAAAAATATATATAATGTCATTTTTAGTGTCTAGTCATATTTGAATACACTACAAGTATTCCCTAAAAATGACATTTAAGTAATAAAAAAATCTGTCAGATTAATAAATAAATAAAAATCCACCCCCCCCCTTTTTTTAGATATATACACACGTTTTTTTTTTTTTTTTTTTTTTTAATGTGTTTTACTTGTTTTTTATATTTGATCTTTCAAGTTGTCTAATTAGTTTCTTGAGATTTTTAAAAGATTTTAGCATAATTACACAAACACGTGTTTAAGTGTCTTTCAGTTTATTGCAGTTACAATAACATGTTTGTCTTTGTAATTTACCCCTGAAAATGACCTTAGAAAAGTTTGAAAGTACTTGGGTAAAAAAAAAAAAAAAACTAAGGTGCCTTTCTTGATGGATTTCATCTCAATATCAAGAAACTAATTAGATAACTTGAATGGATTAAATAGAAAAATAAGTAGATACATCAGGCCTACATTATTCAACAAAATCTGTTAAAATGAAAATATGCTGCTTAAAAATAAATCTATAAAACCCCTAGACATGAACAGCAGAATAAGAATTATCTATCCCCTGTAGATTAAATAAAGTGTAAATTTACTGATGGTTTTTCAAATCGACAGAAACCAAGATTAGCGAGCACAAAATTCAAATATATGAAAATATGATACTTGTTAGGGAAGTTACCGTCTCCCCACTTTCCCCTCCGACCTTCAATATGTCAACCCCCAAAAAGGGTTTATATTAAAAAGTCATTCACTTCTTTGATCAAATAAAGATATTTCTAACAATTCTGAAAAAGTTATTTGTAATTTACCTTATGTTTGACTGATTTCAGTATTGAAGGCACATTTTTTTTTTATCATCCACCCAGAAAAGAACCAATTAGAACCCTTCCCCCTCCCAACACAAACATCTTTTACCTGTTGAAATTTTACACAAGCAAAAAGGTAACAGCTGGGTTGTTAGTAGCAGCAGGTGCCAGAAGCTGGATTAATATTTGCCTTAAACTTGAAGGCCATTTTGGGCCTTCAAAGTGGGATTGCTATATTCTTATTTGAATTATTTACAGTCAGCCTTTTATCTACATTGTTGCTGTTGTTATCACAATGTTTCGGCCAACTTCCCTAATGAGTTTCTGCAAATGAATGTCAGCAGGAACTGAGAGTTTTAAGGGACAGGAAGTTGTGGAGAGCCATGATCGCCCATGTATGGCTGAGAAAATAAACCTTATCTTATTCTTATTGTATTTTCATATAATACATTTAAATTTGTCAGAAATAACGAGCGTTGATGTTGACTGAGAAGTCCTAAGGTGCAAATGCCTCATTCTTCTCTGCTTGAATAGTTGAATTGGCTGTAGAGGTGAGGGCAAAGGTAGGCTATAAAAATCCCTTCACCTCATCAGTCTTGTTTTGGCCAAAGTTGTTATTATTGTTCCTGTTTGTTATTAATGTGGTTACCTGACCCTAGCAAAGAGGGTCGCAAAAGGAAGGACATTTTCTTTAGTTACCCATTCACCAACTATCTCCGCACTGCTCTTTTCAGTTGAATTCATTTTCAACAAATTTTGTGCTCTATTCATATAGTCCACAGGGTATATGACGATGCTGATATAACTGACTATTGATTATGCAAGATTGTGTGCTCACTTTCTCTCTCCCTCCCAGAAATTGTAACCAAACTCTACTAAAATACAGCCTTGCTTACTGTGACTTTCTTTGGTTGAGTGATAAAAAACAGTGGTTTTCTTTACTAAGGAGGATACAGGTTTCTTAAGATTTCTCGAATGCAAAGGTTGATAGATGCAATGCACACTTAAAAAAAAACAAAAAGTGGGGGGTTCTATTTCAAATATGAGTTTCCATTGTAATAATGTTTGAAGTAATACAAATGTTGGAGTTAAATAGGTCTATAAATTCTTTAGAAATTGAATAGTTGCAGTATAAAACACAAGTAAGCTCTATGGGTGTTGAAGAAATATAAATCTACCTGAGCAGGCATCTGCAACAGGGATTAGCTAGCCACCTTAGCAGATGAGTATACTTGGAAACAAGCACCCAACCAGTTAAATAAACTTTTGCCTATCACTATTTGGCAATGTTTAACTTTTTGTACCTACAAAAAAAAATTCTGTCAAAAACGCTGGTTTTTCCCTTGACACTGCTATTATTTTGTACTATCTTCACTCCTTTGGCAAATGTGTATTTACAAGAGCATAAAAATATATGAACCAAGTTCAATAATATTTATTCTTTACTATTTTATAAAGAAATAAATGTGAAAAGAAATCTTTTTATTAAAAAAAATTATCAAAATATGTAAACCGTCTACAATGCAATATTTATTATTTACCATTTTATAAATAACTATGAAAACAAGTATTTTTTTAATTCATAATTTTATGTAAAATATCAATGAACTATGAAACAAAAAAATTTGAATAAACATACTTTACCAAGGGAGTCATAAGTATATAAAGTAGTGGTGTCAAGGGAATAACCGTTCTTTTGACAAACCATTTTTTTTTTTTTTTTTTGCAGGCACAAAGGTTAAACATTGCCCACTGTTTTTATATTACAAGGATAATTACATTTGAAATGTGACATTATTATTATTAATATTTCTTAGATAACTAATAATATTAATTTTGTTTCTTAGACTTTTGTATTAATAGTGATATTGAACAAAAAGCTTACAAAAAAAATTACAAGTTTTTAGCGATAGATTTAGTGATTGAGGTCACCTATTTGTTTTAATGCAGTTGCAAATTTTTTAGTTTCTTTCCTTTTGTTTTTTTTTTTATTCCTCTCTGACAGTTTTCATGACTTTGACATTTTGTTGTTGTTATTGTTGTTGTTTTCTTGTTTGGCTGAATGTGTTGTCAACCAAAAATGCTCAGCAGTTGGACTGAAATAAGTTAATGTTTTTTTATGAGAGGTTTTGTTTATCTCTACAGAGACAGACCAAGTATCACCAGGTACGTAAAGGGACACATTTCAAATTTTCTTTTTCTATATCCTTTCTTTTTAAACTTTTCTTTCCTGTACATAATTTTGCATGTCTTCTGCTTCTGAACATTTAACTTAGCAACTAAAACAAAACAAAATACAATAATTACCAATGCAAATCTAATATAAAATGCCTTGGTTTCATATATATATATATATATATATATATATACCCCCCCCTCTTACACACACTTATTTAAATTCTGTAATGAATACCTGCTTAACAACGACAATACTGAATATTTGAAGCTTTTCTGTTTTGACAACCAAATCTGAAACTTGAGAATTTATTTTTAATTTCAAAACAGCCAGAAGGTGTTAAATAAAACTTTTGCAATTTTTACAGAAATTTTATTTAAATTTGACAGCAAGAAATTCAGTGATTTAGATAATTTTTTTTAGTCATTTCACTCCTGGTAAGGCAATAAAGTCACTAAGATGCAAGGGGTTACTGAATGTGAAAGAAACTGAGGTGTGAGAGAGCAATGAAAAAATGGGAGTCAAAAAGACTGATGAGGATTGACGTTGCATTTAAATTTTTGAAGATTGCAGTTTACAGCAAATACGTTGGGCAAAAGAGTTTAATGCTGGATAACAATCTCTATGCCTGGTCTGTAAATAGTCAAGTACCATCTTGTTTATTTAATAAAATTTATGATGATGATATCAATGATGTCAGGATAGTGTAGTGGTTAGCAACTTGGAAAGGGAAATCAGCAAGCAGTGTTCAAATTCCAACCAAATCATGTTTACTTTCATATGAATGCCCTTGAGAAATGCATAAATCCATCTTTTCCCTCCTCTCCCTGCACTTAGGATTAAATAGCAGACGGCTGATTGGGCTCTTCTTGGTTTAAGGTGACAACCAGCCGAGGAAAAGGAAAATTTTGAATTAAAAACCAACCAGAAGAAGGATGGGGTCTGTTAGGCAATCTTGCCTTAGACACATCACTACTGTTATGGTTGCAGTACATGTGGTACCCCTATGACCCTTACAGCACTTGTGACATTGTCTGACTGTGAATGCAACTCATTGGCAATGAGGCCTTATATTTTTCAGATCTCTGTTCAAACAGATATTTTGATGTCTGTTCACACTCTCTGCGTCTTACAAGACATTGCTTGGATTACTATCAAGATTTCATATAAAACACAGGCATTAAAAGGTGGTGACCGTACTGCTCAGTTTGGAATGAAAAAAAAAGTGATTCTCAAGGCAAATTGCAATTTGCCACATTGACTGCTCGGTCTGTTAATCATTGACATCTCATTAGCTTCAAATGATGATGATGATGACCTCTCTTTTTCTCTTCCTTAGTCTTGGATCATTGCAATTATATCCAATAAAAGCAGAAATAGTGAAGTGCTAGATATTTTTTTTTTTTCTTTCTTTTTGCACAGATAACTGATACTTAGGAAGTGGAACAACAATACGACGAGTATATGGGATGCTTCAACATTAACTTATGGGGTTTAGTCCTGCATATGATGATAAACTACATCTGACAGCAAGGCCTCTGATCAGGTGGTTTTGAGGAGCATGGAAACACCTATTAGGGTCATGGCTATGGGCAAATAGTTATCCTCCCCAAACAAAAACGGAACACTATGAAACTATAAAAATACCTATTTATAGTAGAATGACCAACAATGCATTTTATCTGTAGTTGAAGCCATGCAATTGCATTCAAAATATTTTAGATTTCAGTATTAAATGACCCATAGAGATGTTGATATGTCACTAAACAAGATCAAACATCCAACATGAGAGAACTATTTCATGACATTAATGCATATAATATCCAACAATTTCTTAAAGAAATTGTATTCCAAAATATAACTTCAACAAAACTACAACATAAAACACATCATTGCCTCTAGTAATTATGTTCATGCAAACACATATATGTAAAAAGCTGAGTATAATTTACCATGTGTGCAAATATGAAAGCAGAATAAACATTATTTTTCAAAGCTCACAAGAAAATTAAATTTTGGTATGAAATGACCCATGAAGGAGTCAATATGCCATTAAACAAATGCAAACTTATGGTTTTACTATGAAAGAATTAACTTTTTTGCTTATAGTGGGCATTTTTTCCTCTTTCTCTCTCTTTCTCAATACTTTGACTTTCTTGATTTTACCTTTTTATCCATTAATAATTCAATTTCAATGGAAAAGCTCAACTGGTGTTCATTGACTATAAAAGCTTGTTGCCAAAACTTTACAAAAGGTTAAAATATATTTTACCTTAACCAATATTGTTGCTCCTCCTCCTCATCAGATCCAGAAACCAGGTTGTATGGGAGCTGTGTGTGTGTGTGTGTTTGGGGTGGGGGGAAATCAGGTCGAAAAGTTCCTGGCTGAACCAAGATGCGATTTCAAAATCAATTTGAAATTTTGTCAGATTTTGGGAAGCGGGTTGATTCAAGAACTTTTCAGTGTCCCTGGGTAAAGTAAATTTTTTAGTTTTCCATGACAGTAAACACTAAATTGTTAGCGATGTTGATTGTGTGTGTGTGTGTGTGTGTGTGTGTGTGTGCACATATGGATGTAATTATGTCAGAATATGTATTATGTTGTAACTTAGTCTTTGATGGATATTACTTGCATTTTTGGGGGTGGGGGGATATTGTGTCCGTCATATTTTTCTGGAGATTATTTAATTTTTCTTAACAGTTTTATTTTTATTTTTTTCCACCTGATATTTAGAAAGCCTTTCTAAGGACTTTCTGAATAGTGTATAATGGCTTTAAATTTATTATTGTAAAAATGCTCAGCATGTAAAGGGAAGCTTTGATAGGTGGTCAAAACAAGATTTTCATTTCTAGCTTTGTATAATAGGTTGACGAGGATGTCCAGGCAAAAGGAAGAAGAAGAAAAGATATTAGAGTTTAGCAGGAGCTAATTCTTGATGTTTTTTTTTTATCTTCATTCTACTGGTGTTTACGAAATTGTTATTTTGTTTTCTTCCATTTATGGATGTGGGGGTTAAAAAAAAAATATCAGGTTCTATTTTTATATAAACCTCTTCTCTTTTCAGTGTTACTCTCTATTTGACTTTTTTACTAGAGTAAATATTTTCAAACGTGTGATTAGATTAACAAATTCTATTCTCTTTGGTAAGCATTATTTACTTGAGATTGTTATGAAGTTGTGCATTTTAAAATCTTTTTGAATGAAGATGAAAGACCAAGAATCAAGAAGTTTCTCCTTGGGCCCTTGGGTTTAGCAGCTTTCAATGACAAAGGGCAGACAACTCTTCTCCATTGAGCATGTCCAATGTACTCATTTCAGGCAAAAATACTTGTATTTTCTTGATTAGAATAAATTGTCAATTTAGTTGTATTTTCTTTTTTGATTTGTTTTTTTTCCTCTGTAGAATTACAGTGAGAACTAAAAAGAAAAAGTAGATTTTTATTAAAGTTAAGAAATTAAAATATGAAAGACAATATAAACAAGTATTAAGAGGTCAAATGTCAAGTATAAAAGTTTAGAAAAATGGAAACTATAAAATCTTTTTTTTTTTTTTTTTTAAAGGCCAAGTAAATTAGATTTTCCTTAATGTGAAATGAATCTGCCAGGCAATAAATGTTACTCTGAATGAGTGTTTGACACGATAAAAACACATCTGATAGTCAAGAGAATTAGAATATATCAGTAAGAGATGGCATAAATGACAGCAGAGACGATAAAAGCAGACGTAGAATCGATAAAATAGAGAAACAAAGGAAAAGAGGAGGGTTTCTCATAAAGTGGAAAAGGAAAAAAAACAAAACAAAAAGTAGAACTAACCGGGTTTTGTTTCTTGCTCTTCAGACATCTAATCAAGGAATAGGAGTGGGACACAGCAATTAAAATACAGTCCAAAAAAAAAAAAAGCAGTAATAACAAAGGAAATTGCAGGGAGGAAACTGTGTTGTGAAAGTGACAAAGGAGAATCTTGCCGGGGGGGGAGATGAGTGTAACTATATACAAACTATTTACTATCCTTGAAATATGAAAATATATAAAACAAATAACACTATGTCAAAATATAGGAATTAAAAGATGAAAAGTGAGAATATGATTAGTAGAATCGGATATAATAAAAAAAACTGAAGAGACCCAGATGCAGAAATTGATATATATATATATATATATATATATATATATATATATATATATATATATATATATGTGGAAGACTAGATGAAGATCATAGAATTCAAGAATATGAATGGATTAATAAACAAAAGGAATGGAATTATTTTGGGCTGTTGTCAACACTGGCATTTTTCTTTTTGAAAAACATGTAAAAACAAAGAAAAATTATTCACTACTTTCTACTGCATTGTTTTTCAAGGCTCCTCTATTGCATGACTTAATTTTAATCGTGGTCATTTTCTGTTGCCATAACAGGATATGACAACATAACTGTGAAATTCAAACATTTATTCATCTGAGTCACTTGCAGTGGCAGAATAATATTTTTGTTTTGCAAAGAGAATTAAACGTTAAGCAAAAAAAACAAAAAAAAAAAACATACATTGTGGAGATAGACATGGTTGAAAAGTTTATACAGACATTTTGCCTCAAAATTTTTGAGTAGGGCTTAATAAATAACTTTATCAGATGCTACAGTCAAAAAGCTTTTTGCTTTCTGCATTGAAGCCATTCTTTAAATTTGAGATTAGATGATTCCAAGTAGATTGTGTTTCTCCTTCATCAATTCATAGACTGCATTGTGCTCCTATTGCTTTTGCAATGATCACTGATATTGTGTATGAGTCTGGTCTGAGGTTGATCATAGAGAATTATGAAATCAGTACACTTTCAATCTATTATCTTAGTGAAATATTTTTGCTAATAATCAAAGTATCTTTTATTTGGTCGGAATTGTGGTCAGATGTGTTAAGCACAAAAAGTGGTATATGAACTAATAAGGAAGAAAGAAGCAGCGTTAAAGAAAAACATTTTATCAGTAGATGTTAACAGCTTCAATACAGAGGTGGGAGGGACTCTCTGTACAAGCTTTTTCACTATATATATATATGTGTGTGTGTGTGTTTGTTTATATATATATATATATATATATATATATAAATATCCAATGTTGATAACACAACTGAGTTTCATGAAACTCAGTTGTGCTATTGGCATTGTATATTATGTATATTCACTAATATATACTTAATAGCTCTGTTATATAACATTGAGCACTTTATTTATAACAAGAAATAAAAGAAATATGTATATGTGCATATATGTATATTTTTATTGCACCCATGATATATCCACTCACACAAATAAAATGCACATACAAGAGTATGTTAGGGATACACATACGCGCAAAAAATAAACAGAATCCCTTCCCCACAGCATGTGTACCTCACAGAAATAAAAGCAATCAAAGTTCCAAGTAGTAAATTTCATTGATACTTCTAAAATCTAAATTTGAATGTTATAAATCCTATCATCTGAATGAAGCAAAGAATGTATCTTCGTCTTGCCAGGTGGCGGGAGGAGAAACAAGTAAGCATTTTGCAGTGTTTTATTTTTTTAAATGTCGATGCAGTTTTTTCCTGAAAGAAATCTTGGAAATTTTCTGTGTGTAAGTTTAGATTTTCATAGGAAGTAAACTGAATTCTTGTATGTTATGTAAATTTTTGAGACTTATTTCTGGAATAGCACACTGCATTCTTGATGCCAACAAACATAGTAAATCTCTTGGAGCAAGTTTGGCTGTATATGGTGGGTTGGGCAGAACAGACCAAGTGAGTTGCCAAATTTTTTTTTTTTTTCCTCCTCTATTATTTCTAAATGTATGCTACCTTACATTAATCACAGAGGAGAATGAAAGTTTTCCATTGATCTATTCTCTATGCTGCTATTGGTGTGCAAAAACTCAAGGTAATGTGTCCTGAAATGTCACCTATGATTAATTGTTAGGACAATACATACATTATTACAATTGGTTTCCCCCAAAAGGAAATTACTTAACTAAATAGATTCAAATTTGTATCACCTGTATAACACAAATTTCAGAGATTGTTATGGCCATTTCTTCAGATCTGATTAGGAATGCATTTTAATCTTGAAATTGTCATAGAAATAATGATTGATTCTTGAAAATGTATTTTTGATTTTTAACATGTAAGCATTATAACTAAAACCTATTAGTGTTTCATCTTTTTTAGGACTGCTAATAGGTTATGTATTTTGAGGAAAAAAAAAACCTTAAAAAATGCCCTTTTTGTTTTAAAACCTAGGATATTGACCAGATCTCATAGTATTTGATCTTGTCATCAAATATCATTGATTAGTTTCAGAATGACATCCTTGAAGAGAGAGGAAAAAAAAACATCTTTTGATCCAAATATGTCTGCTTTTCATTGTAATCTACTTCCTGCTTTTGCTATTTTTCATGCTTGAGGCTTTCATCTCTTTGGAGTCGTATCTTTCTTTCTCATAAGCAACCATTATTTCTTCTTGCCTTTTGTTATTTCTTTTCTTCAGACATTAAAATCATTTGCACCTCTTTTCGCTTCAGCCATTTTCTATTTTTTCTTTATTTATACTTTTCATTCTTCTAATTTCAAGAAAATCATTTCACATCTTAAATTCTTCTTTTTGCTTATTTCATGAAAAGCTTGTAACCTAAAATCTCTTTAACTTATGATATTTTTTTCCTTTGAGATTTATTCTAGACATTGCATGACTGACAAACCCTTACAAAGAGTTGCACGTCGTAATGTTGATTTCCTCTCCTACTTCAACTATTTTGTGCCTGTGGGTCAAGCAGTTTCTGTCTGGGTCTCTTAATGATAATATAGGAACAATCTTGTAAATAAGTAATGTTGCTTTACAAAATAAATCCTATTTAATCTCCAATAGACTGAAACCCTGTGAACCCTGTTGGTGTGTTCAAAGTCCCAAATCTTTATAAAATAGGGGCCTTGTACAAGTTTTGTTCTTGTTATCAATAAACTGTACAACACTGAATTTTTTTTTTTTTTTTTTAAAGTTCTGAAATTATTTCTTTATCTCCTAATCGACACAATACTCTTTGCCCCCCCCTTTTTTAATTGGTTTAGACAATGCATTTTACAAACAAATTTTTACTTTTAACCAAGATTGTAAACATTAAATATTTTATGGATTGCCTTTAAGCTAAAAGCACGCATGTTTTGATTTTCCAAATATTATCAATTTTGAAAAGTCATCACAGAAATAAAAGAAAATTTAGAAATCCTACTCTGTACATAAATTCTTTTGCTTGTTTGTAATTGTTAATATTGAAGATGTAGTTTCAATGAAAATTTTGCAAATAAATGCCATTATTATAAATTCCCATTGTTAGATTTTAATGGTTATTACAATGTTCATGTCAGTGTCTTAAACAGTGTCTTGTCAGATTTTGACTCTCAATTAGATGTCATCCAAATTGTTCAGAAATGTTTAAACTCTCATCTATATCCAACCATTTTCTCAGGCCAACAATTAAAAATGGCTTCAATTGAATGAATCTTTTTGGTCTTAAAGAAGACAATCTTTCATCAGACTCTAGACTTGCAATACAAAATTACAAAGAGTTTTATGAAATAACAAAAATTTGCATTAGTTGAAGGCTTCCAACAGCAGCAACACTTAAAATGGATAGCACATGTATTTCGAAAGGGAAATATGGTAAAGTTGTTAACTTTCCACATGACCTTAAACAAAAGGTTAGGAAGGAAACTCCCATCAAAACTAGAAAGTGATAACAGTAGACTTGAAGCCTATTTTCCTGAAAAACTATTTTAAAAAAAGATATAATACTGAACGTTTCCTTATAAGGAAACTGTTAATCTTACTGTTATCCTTTCAGATTTTATTCTAAATAAAAGAAGTTAAACTAATGGAATTGCAATCTGACTTTTTTGTGTAATGACCAAATTATGAAAGCTGTTTTTGATTTTTTAGACTAATAGTCATTTTCTTCAAAATCATTTAGGAGAGCCGAGTTCCAATTCTGGTTGGGTTTGTTATATTCACTTATGTGCAAATACCCTTGGGAAAGGTATAAATTCACCTCTTCTCACCCAAGCTATGAGTTAATTAGTAAAACTTGTATCAGTAAAACATTATTTTCTCTATAGAAAAAGAAAATTCTTTGAATCTAAAAATATTTTCTGGCTTTAAATAACCTGCAAATGATTGAAAAGCTGTAAAAAAATGACTGTATCAAAATCATTTAGTAACATTCTATTTTTGGCTATAATTAGAAATGATCAAATGTTTATTAAATAAAACTAGAAAGAGATGAATGAAAGCATTTTCAAAGATGTTACTTTTTCTCAATGTTTTTCTCAAATTAAGAGGAAAATAACAAAGTTCAACGTCTATCAACTCCCCACCCCAAGAACAGATAATAGCCATTATTTTTTTTTTCTTTCTTCCTTTGGTGGTTTTGTCAAGTGAAATTTTCTATAGAGCAGCCTCTTTTGTGTGTGAACTCTTCTAATTTAAGTGTTTGTTTAAATCAAAATGATAAACCTTGTTATTTCTTTATGAATATTTTTATACAAATTTTTCTAATGTAATTTGGATCTGTATTCTATCTCAACTCTCTTCTTGATTTTGATAACAAAATGCCTGTGTTGTATATTGTCCACATTGTGGAAAGGTTGTTGAAGCAAATTCTTACCAGAATTTTGGAGATTGACAATTCTTGTTTTCAATGATTTGCATAGTGTCGAAACACAGTGTGACTATAACAACCAAGATGAGGTTATTAGTCTATGTAATTCATGTATAATTATGATTTAATTCAACTTTACAAATTCTGTTATGACTCTTTACTTGAAATGAAGCCACAAAAACTTAGGAACATGTGTCGAGTGAAAGATGCTTAGAACCCAAACAATAAATTACTGGCTTCAGATTTGTTTTCTTAAACTGTCTAAATTTTTAAAAAAGAATCTTATCTTTATTATCTACAGATAAGAGTGCTAAGCAAGAGAAAAAAGGTATGTGGCTTTGTTTATCTTCAGATAAAATATTAATCCATTAGATTATTGTTTGAAGTATCTACTAATAAAACTCAATTGTTTTAAATTGTTCATCTAATAATAAATTTCTTCCTATTATGCTTTAATATTCTCTTCCTCTTTTAGAAGATATAAAATTGTTTCAGTCAACACTTTATAAAAAAGGAGTTGTAAAAAAGTTATTTATAATTTTGTTCTTTATTTATTTATTTGCATTAATGAAGGTGAGATTGGCCTGGGAGTTAATAGCACTGGAAATTTGATTGGTGAAACACCTGTTCTCGTTTGATCACCAAAGTTAAGCAACACTGAGCATTAAGATGAGTGATGGCATGGGAATACCAAGTGCCGTAAGCTATGAGCGAGACTGTATCCATCGCTGACTTGCTAGGCCAATCTTGCTATTTATACTAATAGAAGACCTCAATATGCAGACATGCTTCTGGACTGACCAATCGCAAGATCTACCTAGAGTTGGTTGAGTGGTGAGCAAGCGAGCCAAGTTCAAATCCTGCTTAGACAGTATTCATTTCATGCTCATGTTCTTGGGGAAAACATCTCTAGGTATGAGTAAAATAATAAGGCAGACTGGGCTCTCTAGCCTTGATTAGAAATCAGACATAGCTTCTCTATAGCCATAAGTGAAGATATCAAAAATATGGATGCATCTTGCAATCCCCACCCCGTCAGCCTTACTTGCGAAAATATGGTTAGTGTGTAAGATGAATGATTGATCGAATGCAAAATTAAGTGATACTCTGCCTTGTACACTCTCAAATATCGGAAAATAGTTGTAAGTTATGAAGTAATTACTAAACGATTTTTATTTACTTTTTTTTTTTTTTTTTTTGTGTGCTCATGCATGCTAAGAAACATATTAATAGAAGCAAATTGTATTTTGGTATCTGATGTTTGAAATATAAATTTATATCCATTTCCATGGAAAATGTTATCCGATTCTGTTCTCTTGCTGCAAGACCAATCTTACTTGCAGATTTGTAAGTGGTGGTAAAAGAACAATCTTGCTTTATGCATATTTACCAATACAAAGGAAATGTGCTACATGAATGTTATTGCCACAAAATATCCCACTTAATATTCTCACTTAATGACTGGGGTTCAATTTTGGAAATCCATTTAAAGAAGGTTTAATCTTGGTAGATAAAATGTCTGTAGCAGAAGGTAAGATTAAAACAATTTTTTTTTTTTATTTATTTTTTTTTTTATTTAAAAAAAAAAAAAAGTAGTAATGTTGGGGATCAAGTACAATTCTTCCATTTCTCATTACATTTTTCATTTTTCTCATTTGAAATATATATATATATATATATATATATATATATATATATATATATATATATATTTATAAAATTTTTTTAATTGGTTTATACAGTGTGTGGCAGAAATACCTCCTACATAATGGTAAGCCATTATCTAGATGAAGACACCATTGCCACTAATGTCTTACCATTATGTGGGAGATATTTCTTTCGCACCCTGTATGTTTTGTTTTTGTTGTGTGGAAAGGGTGTGAAGGATGGCAGATATATTAATGTCAACAAAATCTATCGTTATTTTAACACGACATTTGAATTGGACCAGTTGACCTCTAAACCTTAATCAAATTTTTAAATGCCAGAAAGAAGAATCCTATTATCATTAGATATTGATAATTATCTGATAATATTTGATAATTATCTAATATAAACCTGTAGAATTGATAGTAATTATCCTCAAAAATTATAATTTCAAACTTTACCAATTATGTGCAGCACATGTGTTTGTATTAGAAATTTTGTAATTAACAAGAATTAGTTTCAGTACAAATTTTTAAAATGGTTGAATGATCACCTGTAGAAAAAAAAGTTTCTTTACATTGGTATGATTAAAGAGGACTAATGAATTTTGTGATGACAAGCCCATCACCAATTTTAAATGTCGAGGGAAATTCTGAAGTTAACATGATTAATCTTATTGATCAAATCTGAAAGGCCAAAAAACAAAACAAAAAATTCTGAGATTTGAGTGCAGTAGAATGATTTTTTTTTTTAATTGCTCTCTAAATTACATATTGTCAGATTTTGAGAACATTATCAATATTTTATGAGAACATTATCAATATTTACATAATGTTGGTAAATCTTTCAGGACATACTTTCCTTGATATGATAAATATATAATGTTAATTTCATCTTGTAATATCTTTTCTCTCTCTCAGGATACAGAAAGATAAGAAGGGAGGAGGTTGTGTTGGTCAGACTGTGCCTAGCATGTACCCAAATTACACATAATCCCCCTACTGCAAAATGATGAACGATTAATGTGTATTGCATTTCAAGAACAATATACAGTGAAACACATGCTAGTAAACTGTGGCGACTTAAACCCAATTCAAACAATATTATCAAGTAAACAACTTAAAAGAATAAAGGCAAAAGGAAAACTTAGCTGACATGTTTCATCCTCTGAGGGACTTTATCAAGGCAAATTCATCAGCTGAGATAAGTTTTCCTTTTGTCTTTATTCATATTTTCCTTTTACAGATATATTCTATCTGAAATTTTTACAAGTTAAAAAAACTTTTCAATCCATCTAAAGTAATCCAATTCCTGAAAGAAAACTTTTCAATCCATCTAAAGTAATCCAATTCCTGAAAAACTTTTCAAATCTAAAGTAATCAATTTTCAATCCATCTAAAGTAATCCAATTCCTGAAGGAAAACTTTTCAATCCATCTAAAGTAATCCAATTCCTGAAGGAAAACTTTTCAATCCATCTAAAGTAATCCAATTCCTGAAGGAAAACTTTTCAATCCATCTAAAGTAATCCAATTCCTGAAAGAAAAAATCCATCTAAAGTAAATTCCTGAAAGAAAACTTTTCAATCCATCTAAAGTAATCCAATTCCTGAAAGAAAACTTTTCAATCCATCTAAAGTAATCCAATTCCTGAAAGAAAACTTTTTCAATCCATCTAAAGAAAACTTTTCAATCCATCAATTCCAATTGAAAGAAAACTTTTCAATCCATCTAAAGTAATCCAATTCCTGAAAGAAAACTTTCAATCCATCTAAAGTAATCCAATTCCTGAAAGAAAACTTTTCAATCCATCTAAAGTAATCCAATTCCTGAAAGAAAACTTTTTCAATCCATCTAAAGTAATCCAATTCCTGAAAGAAAACTTTTCAATCCATCTAAAGTAATCCAATTCCTGAAAGAAAACTTTTCAATCCATCTAAAGTAATCCAATTCCTGAAAGAAAACTTTTCAATCCATCTAAAGTAATCCAATTCCTGAAAGAAAACTTTTCAATCCATCTAAAGTAATCCAATTCCTGAAAGAATTCCAGAGTTTACATTAAAATCTAATCTCAAAATCTTAAACAGTTTATTTTTCTAAACTACTCTTCCCAAACCATCACATGACCCCTAAAGTCTTTTTCCTTCTTCTGAATCATATTCCAACCCTTTATTTTTGATTCTAAATAATTCCAGCATGAAATAACCCATGTTAGTGTTGATATGCCAATAAGGCAAACAAATTTCTCTATTTTTCTTTAATAAGATTTCTCAAATATTCAAGCTAGTAGACGAAAAGGAATTAATTTTAATAATAAATGGAGTGTCTACACAAATATGGTCATCCGCTAAAAATAATATTTAAAGTGATAAAATCTGTCAGATTAATAAATAAAAAAAGAGAATACATATATGTGGTCAATTCAGAGTGTTGACCATAGATTTCATGCTGGAACGCAATCTTCAGGGCACATGGCAAATCTATTTTCTACTTCCTGTGACCATTCATAGAAATATATTTTTGTGATTTTTTTTTTTTTTATTTTTTATATTGTTAAAATGTTTTCTTGTTTTTTTTACTTAAACACATTTTTCAAAATTCTCATCATCCCTTTTCTGATTTTGCAATCTGTAACTGACTCTCCTCCTCTCATCTTTGACTAGAATGTACAGGCCCCGCCCAACCATACAATTGACTTAGAACATCCAGAAAGTGGACTGTGAAGGATTTGGTTTTTATGACAACATAGAGAATAAAATCTGCAAAGTAAGACCTCCAAAGCAGTCACCGATGACTGAATGGAAATGGAAACTTTTGGGGATCAAATACCATTTGGTTAGAAGTTCCAAGAGAAATAGAAGTTGTCCTAAGTATATATCACCTCTTTACCCTCTCACCCTAGCCATACCAAATGAATCTGTAAATAAGAACTAACAACCAAATAGGATTTATATTTTTCACTTTCAGTTCTCTTGTGATTGTGCATTGACCCTTTTCCAGATTTTGTGCACACTGCCACTTACAAGAATCAAGACATGACGTAGGCTGATTTGTCTGCTCAGTGAAAGACTGGGCATATCGTTACAATTGTAGAGTTAAGAAAAAAAAATTGTACTTGCACATTAATATAAAATCTCTTGGTTATTTTCAGGGCACCACAACATGGTGTAATTGGTTAGCAAGTTTGGTTATCTTGCTTATCCAAAGGGGGCAAAGAAGGGAGTAAATTGATTACCCCCCCTCCCACCTTGTGATTTTGGCCAGCCTCCCAAATAGCAGTCATTTGATTTAACATGTGCGACCTTTTCTGTTTTTCTTTCTCCTTTGTCCAGTTGTACGTCAACGAATCGTCACCACGAGAACGATGTCACCGGTGATGCGAATGCCGAACCCAGTGCAGCCCATGTCAGCCCCACATCCTCACCAAAGAAGTAATCCCTCTGTTGGATCTATGCAAATGATTTCTCAAATGAACGGTCGACAGATGTCCATGGTACCACCAGGTTATGGTAAGTAAGACTCGGAAATATTAATGCTGCATAAACAACGTATATTTTGGTCAAATTTGATAGACAGTCATCCTAAAATTTGACTTCTATGATTTAATTAACATTTCCCTTTTGTAATCAAAGTTTTTATTGATTATTCACTTTTATGTATTTCTAAAAATTTTCTTGTTTTATTTTTTATTATTCCTGACTATAAATGGAAAGAGATTTGTATTTGGAAACGATTTGTCCAATTTTAGTGTTTGGTTCAAATTTCTGGGGCAAAATTTCAGTCTTTGTTTTATTTTTTTTTTATGTACAAGGCCCAATAGCCACTCAAGGTAGAGGGTTACACAGTAAAAGGCACCAACTGAAGCAAAGTGATAATGCTATCAAGACACAAGGGGGCAACTGGAAGTGAAAGAAGAAAAAGATTTTAGAAGGAACTGGAAAACTAATACTAAACAAGGATAAACCTCTACACCTGTTCAAAAGACTGGGGAGGAGTATGAACTGGACAACAGGTGAACCTATAATTGATATCCTGCTGTCAAATTACAAACAAAGTTTTCTGGATTTGGCAATTTTTTTTTTTTTTTTTTTTTTTTACTGTAATGGTGATTTTTCAAGCATAGCTTATATGTGGCACAAGGCCAAAAGTATGAGGCACCCAGTGAGGATCGAACTCACTACTCGGTCGTAATTGTTTTAGTGAGACAAACTTGGTAACTGATTACACCATGTTGTGGTGCTTTGTTTCAACTTGTATTGTTGATAAACAATAACTAGTTTACCTGCTGAGATGGTCATTCTCTTTTGAAGGGGGGTGAAAACATAACACGATGGCCATTGTCACTGTCTTTTGTTATATCATTGATAAATTATCAGAATATTTCTTTTGGAAGTGTCACCTTTGACATTGCCCCTACGGACCAATTGATTTTTTCAAAAATAAAAGGCAAACTTTGTGAGCAAGAGACAGAGGGAGGTATTTTTCTTTCTTGTGATGTTGAGAAACACTATCATAGTTTTAATACAGAAATAAAGAAGTTGTCTAAGGGAGGTTACTCTGCTAGAGCTGTCGTTAATTTAAATAACAAAACAATTTCTAAACAATGATGAATTCTATTTCTTTGACCAACATTTTTATTAGTTTAAACGCTATTTTTAGTGGATACCCATATTTGAGTATAAACTCTGTTTATTTTAAATAGGGTTTATTTCGTCTAACGGTCTGTGTACTCGAAAACTTAAAGTAAATATGCCCTTTGGCAAGATTTGAACCTGTATCCTCTTTCCAGAAAGAAACCATTATTTAATCTGATATACTTTTACCACTTGGCCACAAAGAGCTTCACGATAAAGCAATATTCTATTTTGCCTTTAACATGTTGGCTTCCACACGACCCAGAGGTGGGTCATTTTCCAATTTCTTTTCTGTAAGAATTATTGGGAGTGTAATACTATGATTCCTCCCCCCACTGCCAAATAAAAAAATTTTTAATTTTTTTGTCTTGTTTTCTTTTTGGAATTTCTACTGTTTTTTGGGTCATTTATTTTATTTTTATCATGCATAAGAGCTGTACCCTGCAGTTGTGTAAGACTCTGGGTCGTAAAATGGACTCTGGTACTGAACGCTACACGAATGGGTCATGGGTAATATGTACTACTTATGATATCCTTGAAACAATGTTAAAACAAAGTCTTGTGTACCAAAATTTAGATATAGTGTTGTGTCGCCAGGACAACACGGGGGGGGGGAGTAAGGCTCGAGAGCCAATGCATTAAAACACTCACTTGTTCAAATTTTTCTCAAAACACATATCTGCTTAATTTTATATTTAATCATAAACAAATTAATGGATTTTATTATGCAAGCAGGTAGACAAAATAAATACCATTTTTTTTTTTTTTTTTTTTTAAATAAACAGTATCTCTTTAAATATGGGTTTCCATAAAAAATAACATTTAAAGTAATAAAAATAACTGTAAAGAAATTCTTTATTAAAGGAAAATATATAAAGGAAATATTAAGTCGTTCAACCTTGAATATTGACAAAGAGAAAATAAAAAATGTGTGCATCTTGAATTATTTTTACAATTTGAGAAAGATCTATTATAGATCAAGGCTTTGAGGTTTTATCTTTTCTGGATATTTTGACCAGAATAAATCACTTAATGTAAATTTTACTGAAAATTCAAATGTTTTTGTTCCAATTAAAATCTCTTGCATTAAATTTTTTTCTTTGTAGGCCTTTCCCCTGGTCCACCAATGCCAAGACCAGTCCCTCCACGTGAAAGGAAGACTTTAGACAAATTTGTTGATTATTTGGTTGGTGAAGGACCTCAAAACAGATATGCATTAATTTGCAGGTATTGTCATTCACACAATGGCATGGCAATGAAAGAAGAATTTGAATATATTAGTAAGTAAAACATATTTCATATTTTGATGCCTGTTTATTTTTGTTTCTTTCCCAAAGTTTGTAAAAAAAAAAAAAAAAAAAAAAAATCCCAAATGTCTCCCCACCATGTCTTGATGAGTTTCACACACAAAAGCTAAACATGTTGACTGATAAGATGACCAATGTCCATGAAAATTTTTTGAAAAAAAAAATATTTGGGTTAAGAAAGGAAGAAAAGTTAGGCAAGCACTGGGTAGATTCAGGATGGAATAAAAGATTAGGCAAATGTGCAAATATGGACACTTTACCAAGGTCTGGGGCGAGGAGGGGGGAATTTGAAAGAAAGGAAAAGGGTCTTGTGTGATTTGAAAAAGCCTACCTTGTGTCCATATAAGGAGAATGGTATATCTGCCAAAGAATTTGAGATAATAAAGGACATGGGTTAGAAGGTACGGTGGAGTAATGGATAATGGCTTGGATTGAGGAATTGGAGAGCTGTGTTCAAATTCCAGTTGAGTTCGTTACATTTATTTATGTGCAAATATCCTTGGCAAAGGTATGAATCTCTCTTCTCTCCAAGTTATGGATAAGTAACAGGAGAGATTGGGTCCTACAGCCTTGGGTGGTTACCAGTTTAGGAGAAAGGTAACTTTGAATTCAAAACATGAGTGGTTGGCAACTAAACTGGCTCCCCCATCAGACTCTGGTCTGGTGAGGAGGTTAAGTAGCAACACAAAAAAGGAGCTGTTAAAGTGTGGATGATCTCCTCTGAGTCAACAGGCATCCACCCCAACTATAAGTTAAAATAGCCTCACCAACCTGCAATTGACCAAGTGTGTGGAGTATAGCCCTGAAGACCTGGCCAATCTTTATCCTCTAACAGGAGAGAGAGAAGGCAGCTCTGGATTTGGTTAGAAGATGGAAATTGAAAATCAGCCAATATTTCTTTTAACACCATTTGGTGTTGTTGATTGAAATTCGTGGCTCTTCAAAGAAAAAGGTAACAATACTTTTTCATGTTGAAAGAAAGAAAAACAGATGCCATTTCCGTCTCATATGGTGGAATATTATAAAAAGATTGGCTTCACTGATGTCTTTCATGCCTTACCTAAGTTTTAATTATTCAAGGATGAAAGTTTGCATGGATAAAATAAATGATGTGTAAAAAAAGAAAAAAAAAAAACAAACCCAAAAACCAAATTCAAGTTAACTCTCTTTTCTATTGGAATTGCATATCAGTCATAATGTGTTGTCAATGAATGACAAAAGCCAATCACAAGACTTGAGTATTTCACATGTCATCTTTTCTTATCCTGTTGAACTCTTTAGGAACCAGAAAACAAAACCACACACATGGGTGTTTGGCCATCAAGAAATCTAATCTGCCTTTATGAGCTGAATTTTTATCTAAAACTTTCACTGTATAATGTTTGATCTCCTGTGATTTATAGAGAAGCATTGACACGGAAGATTATTGGAAAATGTTTTTCCTCATTAGGCTACGAACTTACTGATGTCCTTAAGTAGATTGAAAGTACAGAAGTACAAAACTTAGCAGTATGAAAAACAGAATTGGAAAATAGTTAAAATTTTGATTGAAGTCGCTTCTTCACTGTTAGGCCATGATTTTTCACGAAATATTACGCTGATAGTAGCAGTAAAATGTTGTTACCCTCAGTCAACCGAGATGAGAGTCAATAAAATATCTAAAATGATAACATATAGTAGATTACTAATAACCTTTTTAGTATCACTTAATATGTACTGAGCACTAAGTACACCTGAATGATTTAACTAAAATAAATTTTCCTTTCTGTATAAGTGAGTCATTTTAGTAAAATTGAAAGATTGTTTTTTTTGAAATTTGTTTTTTCTGTTAAGATTTTGATTAATTTTGATAGAAATTTTGACAATTTTATCAGCGTGTTGTAGTGTATTGTATAATTGATGACATCAGATTTTGTTTATAAATTTTGAGATGTCAAAATGCCAAAGATGTGGAAAAAAAATTTTATTGCTAAATATGTTCCCTTTTTTAAGAAGTGACACCAATTTGTGTTTTGTCAACATATATTCAACTAGGGTTAGAAATCTGAACATTGAAATTTGTAGATATTTTTTTTTTTTTGTAGTATCCCATAATACTTGTTTTAATTATGCACACTTGTTTCAAGTGAAATTCTAGCCCCCTATAAAATTCAGAATTACTCAGGGCCTGTAAATGATCACAGCATCAAATTTGAATTATCAATTTGATTGGAATTTTTAAAACAATTTTTTCCAGGTTTCCGGTGTTGCTATTGTTACCATTTAAATCCTGCTAAGAAACAACGCCCTCATGCACCTCGATTGGATTTCCCCACCCCACAGTCATCACCGGCCAGAAGGGCAATTACTGCTCCAGACTCAAAATCAAATGGAGGTAAAAAAAAAAAAAAAATAAAATATATATTTTTTTTTTTTCTTTCTTAATTTTTTTTTAAGGGAGTCCATGTTAAAAAGCTGTAAGAAAAGTTTAAAAAAAAAAAAAAGGAAAGGAAATAAAAGTAAATGACATCTTATTTGGAATCTTATCTATGGAATCAGTCAACACATTCCTCCCCCCGACTCTGGTAAACTGATAAATGCTTCAGACTCTATACTTGACGTCAAATTCAATGTACATGAAGTTTATTTGTTCCTAATTTGTAGGTTTTAAAATTATCAAGTCTTTTAAACTTTAATAAGAATTAATCTTTTCTTGTAGAAACAATTTTATATAAAGTTGTAAGTTAATTTGCACAAATTTTATCAAATTCTTTAAAACAAACTTAAATGTTGAACATTATTTTGACAACAAATTTTCTGGGTGATCTTTCAGGATTTACAAATATTTATTTGTTTCTATTCAGTAATTTATTGGAAAATAATTTTAGTAGAATGTATCTGAAGTTGATTTTAAGGGTGTGTGAGTGTAAAATATATACACACACACACACACACACACACACACACACACTTTAAGAAGGAAAATAACTTAACATATCATCAAAGAACTTGGTAATAAATTTATTTCAGCAGATAAATTATTTATATTTGCATCATCAGATCAAAATTACAAAATGGTTCAAATTTATCCAGAAAATTTGTTAAAAGTTATTTTAAAATGAAATCACAAGAGAAGAGGAAGTAAATGTCTAAATTACTTGGCCTAGAAAATGTTTTCCAGGGGATTTGCATTATCTCTTCAAGTAAATCCCCAGGAAAATTTAAAAAATGCAGCAAAAGTTTACATCCAGATTCTTACATGTCACCTTTCATAGCAGATCTTTTATTATCACAATGTGGGATATTTAATAACAAAAGTGATGGAAACATGAACAAAATGAATAAAAAGCTTAATGAAATCATCTAGACTAAATGCCAAAAGCATATATTTAAAAAGAAAAAAAATTAATTTAAAATTCTCAGCATCCATTTTTCCTTCATGCCCATGTGTAGTCACATCAATGTAAACATCACTTTAGTCTGATGAGGTCCTAAAGGATGAAGTATCACACAAAAAAAACCTTTTCCTCTTCTTTCCCTCATTATATATATATATATATATGTGTGTGTGTTAAATTTATTTTTAAAATGTCGTTCATTCATCTTAGACCTCTCTTGTCCCACCTTCCCCAAAAACCCTTGTATTTTGGTCTGCATAGTTTTGATAATTTCTCTTCAATACTTTCAGAAGTGATCAATCAAATTCCTCAAATCTCTGCCAGGGTTCCTGATGTTACATAAGCGTTTCCTCAATTTACAAGGCAGTACTTTTTTTTTTTTTTTTTTTTTTTTTTTTTTTTTTTCTCTATAATTCCTTAATTAATTTTTTTTTTTTACTTATACGAGAAATATATGAGTGTCATATTTTGAAGTTAGCATTTAAATAAGTCTGATGCATTTATTTGCCTACTAGTGATATCCTAGGTAGATTAAATATATCAATTTCTCGTCTTTTAATGGAAATTCTGTTGAGAGTCAACAGTGAGGAATGAAATAATCACTTGAATTTTAGGACTAACTGCACTTGAACTGAGTTTACATGGACAAGATTTTGGCTTTTCTAATTGCTACCCACTGAAATTACCGCTACACCTGCTTTGCTTTCAATATTTTTCTGCATTAACAAAGTAAAAATATTTGGGACAATAATTTGATTAAATACTGAATTTCACAATTTTATTTAAAATGTTTTATAAAAAGGATTGTCAGAGGTCGGGAATTAATACAAGCGTTATTGACAAAATTAGAGCTCTTGTATATCTAACTTCCGTACATATTGGCCTTCCAAAATGTTTTTACTTTTCATTAAAACCAAACACATTTTTCTCCCTCCACCTCCATTAGCTTTGTTGACCATGTAAACAAGGGGGTGCTGAAAAGTCATCGGCCCTTCCCCACTATCTAAAATCTGACCAAGCATCAGAATTTTTGTAATGCTTTCTTTGTCAGCACCCCCTCCCCCTGTTTTATTTTGCTATCATCATCATTATCATCATCATCAGGCAGTTTTACCATTCCTTTCTCTTAGAACATTTCCACTTAGCAGAAAACTGCTTGAAGTGCTTTTTGCAGTTTTTCAGGGAATTTACCCCCACTTTCCAGACCTGAAATATTTGTTGAAAATGGCAGATAAGTAAAAACTTCATGAGTCAATGATTTTTGCCTGAAACTTGTTTGGAATTAAACCTGATGAATATGACCCCCCCCTCCCCCTGTTTTTTATCAATTAATTCTGCAAACATTTCATCAATTGCTCTTCAGTTGGGAGTGGTACAGGCATGAATGAAATATTTGCTTCTCCAGAAACTGTTTAGAAGAGAGGACCCCCCCGCCCCAATCCAATCACACTATATAAACAGCATCACCATCTTTGGATGAAGATGCACTTTTGGGTACATTTATTTCACTTCCTTTGTGATATCTCATGTTTTACTTCTTATTTTAATTTGTTTCAAAAGTAGAACATTTTTAATATGTTTTAATTGCAAAACACACCAGAAAATCTCATTTAGGATTTGTTTTTATGTGGAAGTCACACATCAAAGTGACTAATATAACGAAGATGATGCAAATTATTTTCAATGCTTAATTTAGTTGTTGCATTAAAGAAGTGAATTGTACATGGAAATATTATAACCATATTTTAACTTAAGTGAAAGCCACATATCAAAGCAGCTAACATAACCAAGGTGGTACAAATATTAAATTTTCTGTGTTGATAATCTTCTATATTCGTTACTGGTCAATTGTTTGACCAGACAGGTGGCAGGGTGCTCTCAATTCCTTCTCTATAAACCTTACAAATCTTAAGTTACATCAAGGAAATAAGGTTTTTTCTTTACCAATTAGGCTACAAGGAACTGTCCTGATAAAGAAAAGCTCAATTATCTATTTAAGAAATGCACACATCTCTCTTTGGGATTATTTTGAAGTCCATGCCTACTAACTTTATTTTCGTACATGAAAACTAAAATACAAGTTTGATTACTTTCAGGGCAGCACATTTTTCTTTAGTATGACTTCTCGATCTGTTGGCCAGTTGACATTTTAATTTTAATGTTTGAGATAACTGGGATGTCAACAAACACATGTACCCAATAATGTTTTTACTTTAAGAAATTTTTACTTTTCTGAAAATAAGAAATCCTGATTTTCTTGCCTTTTTCAATGTTAGAATCAAACAAAAATACAGCAATTTTGACAACTTAAAGAAAAGATGCCTGTTGCTCTGACAGCCATCATCACATCTGATGAAAAGTGATCTTCAGTGAAAATCTTAGGAAACTAAACACTCCTAAAGCCATTGGCAAAAACAAAACAAGCATTTTCGTCAGCCCAATTATGTGAAGATAAATGCTTGTATATTTTGAACGAGTGATGAATGAAGAAGGAAATTTGTGTTAAAAAGAAAAATCATTGAATTTCTAATCTACTAAACTTGTGATTTAGCTTTTCTAAAAGTGAAATGTTGAAGTAACTTTTGTTGGAAGAATTTTTCTGTTAAATTTCATGTAATGTTGTGAATATCATGCACACACACACACACACACATATATATATATATATATACACGCATACACACACACACAAAAAAAAAATGTGTATTTGGGCAGCAATCCTTCTTTAATACAAATTTCCTTAAAGACTATTGGCAAGGTACTGTGGTTAAGTTTCTTTAATTTTTCTTGTGTTTGTACAAGTGTTTTCTTTTCTGGATACAAAGTGTGTAAAAAAAAAAAAAAAAAAAAAACTGTCCAAAAGTTCTGCATATGCAATCACTTTTGGTTATTCATTTAGCCATTATCAAGGACAATTTTTATTTTTAACTGAATGTGTTGTTTTTGTATGTCTGTCTGAACTTATAGGAATGTTTTATTTTCCAAACAGTCAACACATTGTGGCCATGTTCATAGTTAATGTTATTGGGTGTTGGCTTTTCCTTTTTTATTATTAGGGCTTCCATTTTGGACAGTTTTTACACACTTTGTGACCAGAAAAGAAAACAATTGTAAGAACAAAAAAGAAAAATCTTATAATTCCTCTCAAATAAGGCGTTCGGAATCGGGCAGATGATGTTAGATTTTGTTTTGATTAAATGTAAAATATTAAAGTAGTAAATGTATCCTTGTCATGTGGAGTTGGTTTCTTTCATTTAATCTTTTTAAATAATGGATTTTATTTTAAAGAAAAGTGAATTTTTATTTTAGTTCATAAATATTGAAACAATTCAAATATTTTTTTTTTTTGTAGTTAAAAAAAATAAAAAAATTCTCAGATATTTTGTAATCATTTGATTAAATATTTTTCTGGGATTTTGCTGTAGATTTTGCCTACAATGGAGATTAATTTAGCATTTATTACAACATCAGAAGAAATAATTCTGAGAAAAATCTGATAGCAAAAAATTAATTTTTGAGACCCCCCCGGACTCTCACAGTTGTTGCTAAAATGTTTTAATTTATCTTCTTTCAAAAGGCTAGCTACCCCCTGCCTCCCTCTCCCCCAATATATACACCAACCAACTCTTTCCCCACATTACATATCATACACTCATTCTGAGTAACTCATTTAACACAAATGATTTCATATTTACGTGCAATGATTTTCCCCAGTTTATGTGTGAATGACACTTTTCTCTATCCTTGTGGATTGTAGATCCGAGGAAGGCTATAGAACGGATCATATTGCTATAGTAATGAAAACCTTGAAAACAATAAGCTTGGTCATTTCTAAAACTCTTGCAATGACGAGAAATCTCTGGAAAATGATAAGCAATAATTACCATCCCCCCTCCCTGAAATTTTTTCAACAACTTCATTTCAAAAGAAAAAAAAAATTCTCAGATATTTGGTTTTTATGAAGCAAAAATTACAATTTTTACTTTTTTTTTTTTTTTTTTTTTTTTTTTTCCCTGAATTGTGGGTTTCATATAATTTGTAGATTTTGTCAAAATTTCTGTCAGCAGAAAGATTTTTGCTGTTTGATACTTTCATTGGTTTTAATGAACAAAACAAAATTACTTTTGTTCTGGATTGTTGAAGATTTTTACAATTTTTTTTTTTTTAGTTTGTATAGAATATTGTTCTGATAATAGCTTCTATATTTTTTTTTAATATTTGGCAATATTGTTTTGGTTCTGACAAGTTCCTCCCTATTTTTCTTTTTTTATTAATATTCCCATTCAAAACAATCACTGCAATTTCTTTTTCTTAATCAGATTTTGGGAATGCCTGTGGGGCTCACATTTATTTTAAGATTATCTGCACAAGAAGCACTCCATATAGACATGGCATGAAATATTTGTCAAAAGATTTATTCTTGGGTTCAAAGGGCGAATTGAAATTTGTGCTTCATGATTTTGATTTCAGTGCTTTGGAAAATTGTTATGCAGTTGGTAAATGGAAATTTTTATTTTAAAGCTTCTCTTAAAATGAAGGTTATGGTATAACTGGCAATAATAGTTTGTCAATATTAAACTCCACATTTCTACTTGCATTTAATCTGACTTTCACAAACTGCTTTTGATAATATTGAAGCTTCAAATGTCATTAATCTCTACTGATGTAAGATTATCTGATAATCTTTCATTATTTCAAATGACTTTAAATCTATTCTCTTCTTTGATTGTCTTTTGTAGATGACCTTATGTAGCAAATGACTTAATATTGAATATTTTCTAATCCTTATATTCTTTTATTTATGTTCGTTCAGGAAAATGTTGTTAAGTTAAATCCTCTCATGATGAACTTTTTTACTTTAATCTAATTAAATAACGGCTTTTTATATTTATGAAATAAAACTTCCAAATTTCTTAAATTTGGACATTAACACATTCTGCACCAAAATTCTTTTAACTACTTTGGTATTAATGATTTGGTTTTGGTTTTCTTGTACAAGGATCTTATTATAGTAACAGTGTTTCAGTTGTTGTACAATTTGGCCTTCTTCAGGTGTCTGTGATAGTTGGTAACCTTTTGGGAAACTTCAAACTGAACTCTTTATTCAATCTATGCGAGTAGAGTCTTCTTCTGTTGACTATTCTAAGGGAGATAACTTCTATCAATTCTAGCTCGTCTCTTCCACAGAAGTTAAAATAAATTACTTTATTTTTATTTTTTTATCCCTTACCCAAACCAGCGATTCAACTCACCACTGCCAGGTAACATGATTTGCTTAACTAATGCTTTTTATCTCTTTAGCTATGTGTCTTGAGGAATAAAATTTGGTGGTGGAAAAAATTCAAAATATTTTACTTTGTACTACAACAATAGAATTTTTAAATGTTTTCTACATAAGATTTAAAAATAATTTTTTATCCTTGGGAATTTAACATTCTCTTAAATTTAAATTCTTAGCCAACAGGATTTATAAGAATTTTTAGTAATTTCAAATCTTTATGAAATTCTTTTGTGTTTAGTGAAGATGATAACCAAATTATGAATTTAAATGCTTAAGTGAAACTAAGTAGAGAAAAAAAAAATTAAAACTGATGAACTGAGTTTTAATTCTGCATCAAATTTTGTCAAATTTTCAGATAAAGAAAGTTCAGGAGAAGAAGATAATCTTTCTGCAAACAGTGAGAAAAGTGATGATGAAAGTAAAGATGAAAGTAAAGATGAAACGATAGAAACTGAAACGAAAGTGGAAGGTGGAATGGAAGAAGAGGTTTCAGAATCTGTTGAAAATGCTGACAATGTACCAATGGCAGATGAGATTGGTAAGGAAGAAAATGCCGATGAAGGTGTTGAAAAGCAAGTTGAAGATGAAATGCAATCGGAAATTAAACAAGATGAATCCGCACTTACTCAAGATATTACTGAAGGTCTCGAAGCAGATAACCAGCTTGAAGCAGAAACAACAATTGGATTGCAAGAACACCATAAGGATGATTAAAGAAGGAAAAAAAAAAAAAGGTTGAGTTAAAGCCAAATCTTTTGTGCTAACTTTGGCTGCATTTGGTGCTTGTCTGTAAGATGCAGTGGTCACATGTATAATACAGTTTTCCCCTTTTTCTTTTTGACACACCCACACTGGATGATTTGGTCACTGCCTTTTTAAAAAAAAACAAAAAAAAAAAAACAGCTATTTATTTATTTTCTCCCTCCCCCAACTACTGCTGCTTGGCTTCTCCAGACTTTTAAAGATATTGCAATAAATATTTGAATATCTAACATTTTCTCTTACTACTGCAATTAACTATGAATGTGAGGTTGTTTTGACTGGCTTATCTCCCTTTACCTCAATTCGACCGGAAAAGACCGGACTCGGCAATGTTGATGTTTAAAGCACATTTTTTTTTTTTTTTTTTTTTTTTTTTTTTTCGTTTCTTGCTCCCAAGTGCAGTGTCAGTGATCGTTTTATGTACCCTGCACATTAATCCGTTTTTTTTTTGTTTTTTTTTTTTTACCCAGAAAACCCACCTCCTCAGCTCATGTGTCTGTATTGTAAGTATAAGTGAAAGCCATATTTAAACAAAAACTGATTTTTCTTGTAGTCATTTTTGTTTAATATTTTTCTTTGTTAATAAAAACGGTTTGAAAGAAATTTGATTTAAAAAGAAAAGAAATTGCTGAATGGATAAAAATTAAAATATTTGAAAAAAAAAAAAAAAAAAAAATTCCCTTTTTTTACTCAATGTTAAAAAGAAATGGAGGGAATTTTACTGGTTGGTCTTACCAAATATGCTTTAATTTAAGGGGGATTTTATCGTAATATTTGCCAGCATTGTTTAGATTATTTGGAATTAATTTTAGTACCCCCCCCTTCCAAAAAAAATAGAAAAGGAAAGTTTATGCAAAAAATTTTTTTTGTTTTACTTAAATTGATTTCAAATAAATGAATCATTCTTTAGCAATATTATCTTCAATGCTGATGGATAAAAAAAAATGTTGGGATTTATTGTGGAGCAAATGAGATAAAAAGTTGATGCTTGTAAAATTTTGTTGATATCTGCAGATGGGGAGGGAGTAGATAAAAAAAAAAAGATATTTTGTGAACATTTTAAATTCAGTAGGGGTTAGGGATTTTTTTTTAACTTTATTTTGGAATCAGTTTTGATTTGTGGGTATAAATGATGAATTTTAATAGACATTAATTGTAGTAGAAAGTAAATTTTAGTTTAAATATTTTTGTGAAGTATATAAATGATACAGAGGACAGAATCTAGAATAAAAATTACCCCCCTCCCAATCTAGGTGGTCCAGATTTCTCCACAGAATATGTCTTGTAGTCACACATTGTTCACTGTTCTATAAAACCATTTTTGAAGTTGTACAGAACGAGGGAGCTATTCTGCTGCTCTCTTAGCATATTTGTATTCAATGAATGTTTAAAAAGTGCCTAATTGTTGTTTGTTGTGGTTCATTCACCCGCCCCTTTAATATTTGAACCATCAAAGCAAAATACAGCCCCCTCTCCCCAAAACTCTTGCAGGGAAACTAATCTGAAATTCATATATATATATATATATATATATATATATATATATATATAACTTGAAAAATACTTGTTTTGAGTCCAACACTCATTGGTATTTTCTTTACTAATTCTTTGTATTACTGATAATAGTTATTTGGTTGTTGTACATGAATTTGCTTGTTAGACATGTTTTGGCTATGTAACCTTTGACCATCTTCAGATGTCCATTTTTGGTTGATAGATATCAGAGTTGATTATCAATGGCATCACGGGGGAACATATTAACTCTTAAGTTGGCCAAACTGGGTATCTGATATACAACCGAAACTTCTGTAAGAAGCAAAATCCAAATAAGAAATCAATGTTTAATTGGTTTGTTGATGTTTGCTTGTCTAATAAATATTTTATATTACAAATAAAAAAAACAAAACAAAAAAAACGACAACTTTTAAAAGATTTCTATCACATAATGTTTTGATGTAAAAGCACAAAGATGAAAAGGAAACCAAATTTTAATAAGCAGCAGCACTTCTCTGCATCAAATGATATTACATAACCTCGCCTTTTTGAAATGAACACTGTGTCTTCATTTTGTTCTCCCTACACTGCTATGAACTATACCTGCTTTTCAGCAATGCTGTTTAGTCTGGGGGTGGGGTATTGTTCTGCCTTGATCTAATCATCCACCCACCCTTGTTGAAATTCTGTATGTTGGCACAGAAGGTGTTAAAACCTTTTCAATAATTTTGTATCAAAATGATTACATTTCACACATGTTGCATCAAAGGTTTAATTTTCTAAAGCCTTTATAACACCTGGCATCTGTCATTTTTTTAAAGCTAGAATCTTATTTAATTTTATTTTGCTGGTTATCATAAAATAATTGTTCAATTTAAATTTGGTCTATTTGAAATAAGTTTAAAGAAGATTTGAATGTGTTCAAATCTTGCCACAGCAAATTTCATAGATTATTATTTTTTTTAATAAATAAAAAAACAATTTTGAATTAGACTTTATCTGTGAATAGCCATTTTTATTCTGTTTTTTTTTTTTTTTTTTTTTCTTTGTTTGTTTGGTTTTCATGTAAATGACTGAAAAGATTAACAAATTCTACTCTTGACATTTAGTTTATATTAACCAAAGACTAAAAATAGTTGAATTGGAAATCTATATTTTTCCCATAAAAGATCACAAGCTTTACAAAATCTACCAATTTTTTTCGCTTTTGGCATGAAATTTTGAATTTCTGATTACCAAATTGCTTTTACATTGTTTGTTAGATAAAAGATTATATATATATATATATATATATATATATTAATTTTCCAGTGTAAGATATTTGACTTGCTGTGTTTCAATTTTTGTCTTAATTTCAAGACAATGTTATTTGTGTAATTCATGGATTCTTCTAGATTTCTATTGCAATTTACCCTGCTCCTCTATGCAGAAACTTCCTCTACAAGAAAAATCCAAGAAGCATGAAAACTAACCTCAAGGAATGCATGTCTAATAATCTTCTGCAATGTTCATCTATTCATGGCTTGTTGATGGCAGAAGTCATTGATTTACATTTCTTAACATCCTGTTTAAAGGCCGTTAGAGAAACGAACAATAGAATTGCTTCTTTAAAAGATAAACAACAGTTAGTTTTGGTTAGTTTAGCTGTAGTAATGGTGTGTAGAGCCATTATGTATATGATGTTAACAGTCAATATACAATCCATTTTTCCAAAATTAACATTACTTTTTGTGTCTCCGTCCGAGTGTTTATAGAATTTGTCAAAAGCTAAATTTATATTCTCTCAGAATTGTTAATCCTCCCCCCCCCAAATTATTTTCACAGATTGGAATTAAAAATTGAAAAAGAAAAGTTTTTAAATTTGTTAAATATAAAACAGTATCTACTAGGGAGGCTAGCCAATCCCTATTGCAGACGCTCGCTCAGGCACATTTGTTTGTGCTCAAAACCCAGAGTCTACCTGTGGTTTATATTGCAGCTTTGCTGAGCAGACCTTAGTTACAGTTTCTGGGAGAGAGCGTGTCATATTGCATGATCAACAATTTGAATAAGGCCAGCATGCTGAAGCCCTCACCCATGATAACTTGTAGTATCGTGCTAGCATAGCTATCAGAAAAGTCCCGTCTACCCAATTTCACTTACAGGGTTTGGGTTAACCCGTGGTATGGTTTTTCAGGCACTTACCAAAGGTACTGCACGCTGGGATCAACCTCAATCTAATCCGATAACACCAGAAACTTGCCTTCCTGACAAATTGACCATGGTGAGATTCAAACCCAAGTTTCATGGTTAGAAATTGAATGTTTTAACCACTCGGCCACTATATATATATATATATATATATATATATATATATATACACATACACACACATGTGTGTGCGAGTGAAAACTTTCTTTCAACAAATACTGATTTTTATTAACCCTACCTTTTTACAAGTGTACCGGATGGTTGGATTCTTAATGTTACCTGTTTATGTCTCAATTTTACTTGATAATTGTGATGAATGACTAGTCCTCCTTCTTTCAAAATTATCAAAACTTCATTCATCTGAATAAAGAAAACTGATTTTTAAAGAAAAAAAAAAAAAAAAAATTTTTAATTTAAGATTTTTTTAAATTTTTTATTTTTTTTTTTTTTTCAAAATTGTTTCAAATGTAATTTTAAATAAAATAGTTATAGGTTTTTTTTCTTCCCCCCCCTCCAGTTTTTATAAAAATATTGTTAAAATTAGAAAAAAATGACTTCTCAAAATAAGTAAGATTTTTTTTTTTTTTTTTTTTCCTTGATTTTAAAAAAAAAAGATCTCAATTTTGTCAGGTGATTATTGAAAAATGTTAAAGTTCACAATTTTTTTCAAAGTGATTTTCAAGAAATTATATATTTTTTTTTTTTTTTTTTTTTAAATGAAAAGAAAAAAAAATTGTCCCTCTTGTCATTTCTTTAATTCAAACTAAAGATTTGTTATTGAGTGAATACTTTGGGAAGGGAGGTGATTACTATTGTTTGGGGGGGGACGAACTTTTCATGGTAGTTTTGGAATCTCTTTGAAATTTTATTTTTTTTTTTTTTTTTTTTTAAAGGGAATTATTTCAATGAAGAAAAAAAATATCAAAATTTAAGTCTGCCAATGATTATATCTAAATTTCATTTGAGATTAAACAAATTGAATTTCTGTATAGAATCATTGAAACCAATGTAAAAATGTCTCAGAAATTGAAACCAATTCATTTTCAGACAGGAATAATTTTAAATTGTCTAAAACCTTTTGACAAAGTCTTTCATAATTGATTTGTCTTTTTTTTTTCTTTTAAACTTCTAGAACTTGGATAGAAAAACTAGTTTGAACTAATTCTCAACTTTTTCGTTCATTTTCAGAAACTAACACTTTTTCAATAAGTCAACCTCTAAAAATGTTCTTCCCAAAATAACTTTAAATTTAAAGTTGCAAAGAAATC